CGATGTCGGGAGTCGTCGGTCGGCTGAGCTGGTTGCCGAGGTCGATCACGCTCTCAAGATGGGGTGCTGGCGCCGAAATGTTGGTTGGCATCCCTCGGTCGGGACGGTCGTGCCTCAAGGGTGTCTGCTCTTTTGGATGGAAAGCCCTGAGCGTCGGTCGGGACGTCGGATCCGTCCGGAGGAAGACACCTCTCGATCGGGATAGTGGCGCCTCGAGGGGGGTGGCCGCTCTCCTGCACGAAAGAGCCTCGTTGGATGGTTCCCGACTTTGGCCCCTCAACGAATAAGTTAGTGTTTTGTTCTCTGTTTTTGCCTCTCCCTTGGCCAGATGCCGGCCAGAGGTTTTTATACTACTATACGAGGGTCGGTCGTACGCAGGTTTGGCGTGGCGACCGATCCTCGAGGGGCGAGATGGTACCTTTGTGCGGTCGTCGTCCTGGGACGTGCAAAACGGCGTCGTCTCGAGCTTTTCAGGATGGGATGTACCGAGGAACGCCTTGATACGGATTCTGGCTCGACGCATGGGAGTGTTCCTCTTGCTGATCTGGCGGTGGCGTGGCATGGCGTTGACTGTGACGTGTGGCCAGGACCCAAATATACATTATCAAGTAGATGACTAGGACGTTATAGCAAAAAAGATTCAGAAAAATCAGAAGCAGAAAAAAAAAAGTGAGGATGCTATAAGTGACTTATTATTAGACTTCCATATGACCACAACCATATGGCTTGCTCCGAAGTTTTTGGATGAGCTCATTCATAAGGAGAAAAATCCATGATGGAGTATAATTTCATGGGATTTAACCTTCAACATAAGCAAAACCAACAACCGAAAAAGGAAAAAGGTGAGATCTGTGTGTTAAAGCAGCAAAGTTTGTAGAACCAAATAACAGAAAAGTAAAGAAGAAACGAAAATAATAAAGAAGAAATATATAAAAGGGAATAAAATCCGAAAATTTAAATTGAAGTTCGACGTTTTTCATACGGATCAGAATCACCAAACGGAGCGACATCCTATGGTTTTCCGCACACATGGCAGCGACGGAGGCGCGGTCCAATCCATCCCCCGCCCCCTCTTCCGCTAAGAGATTTTCCAGAAAACCCATGGCTCTTCCGAATCGCTCGATACCTCGACCCTCGACACCAAAAACCACCGAAGAAGAGCAAACCCGATCTCGTCGATCGCCGCCGCAGTTACGGGCACCAGAGTCGACGTCCGTCCCATCGATCCCATGGCCTTCGACGCAGAGGTGGAGGCAGACGCCGATAGAGACAACCGCTGGCTTGTTCGAGGGCCGGGGTCTGTGCCCCGCGTTTTGAAGAAGTAAAGGCGAAGAGTGTGACGCGTGCTTATAACGAGTTCTAATGTAACAGCCGTTACATTGATTTCTGGACACCTCTACATGGTCATATCAGTCCTTTCAGCTTTCGAGAAGAGCTGATAAGAATTATGTAATAACTTCGTGCGTAAAGAACTATTTATAACAAAATTAATCAATAATTAGTATAAAATAGATTAAATAACCAAATTAATCAATTGATTATAACCTGTCGTATACACAATTATGATGTATTTTTAGCTGCAGTTTTTAGGGTGCTAAAAGTCAAAACCTGAATTAGAACAAAAGGAAAAGGAAAACTTCACTATAATGGATAAAAATCTTCAAATTTTTCACTCAAATGCATCCATAAGCTTCAATTATATCTCTATTCCTGTATACTGGGCAGTTTGAAGACAGGTGAGTGCATTCATTGAAGGACTAGCACTGGAAGGACTAAAACATGTTATGACCTCTTTTTCCCACCAAAAAGTAGAAATGTTACTGTGCGATGTTTGTAATAAAGGACCTCTTGCAGAGAGAACCATGCAAGTAATAAGTGAGAACCACAAAGTTTTCATGATAGGATATATATAAGTCATGCACATGAAGCCAAATTCTCACCAGGTTTGCGCCTAGAAAACGCAATAATCAATGTTAATATCGGAGATTAATCTTATATTGACGTTCGTAACTATAACAGAAATCTACTACATACATAAAAGAGCTATTCAAAACAGCTGTTCATGGACAAAAGCATTGTCATGAGAGTTCGAATACCAAGTAGGGGTTGCTTCCCTGCAAAAGGAAAGCCAATCAAATTCAATAACATTCTCCTCTTACAAGCTTAAGAATCCGGCCGTGCTCCAACAAGTAAGAAGATACCAAGACATGACATGAAGAACGCTGGCAATGGATCTTCTGTGGAGTTGTGCTCGTCAAAGCCTCTTCTCTCAGAAAAGACAAAAAGCAACTTGGGCTTTGTCAGATTCTTGTATCCTGCAAGGAAATGGGGAAAAAAATAACAATCAATGTTTTGTTCCTTTGACAATTCAGGTTCCCGTATGTTCCAGAGAGCCATGAACCAGACGATGCTATCACTACTAAGGTACGTCTAAGCCAAGATTGGACGTCTTTTGGGCCAAGGAACACCATTTTCATATCAAGAAAAACTTGCAGAACGCGAAACTAATGTACCATGACTCCTGGTGGCCCGTGAAGATGATTAGTGTTTGGTTTCCAAAATTTTTTTTTGATTCTTTTCATAGTTCTGGATTTTGAACTTTCTGATGACTGCATAGCTGCTAAGAGGGAGAAGATAAGAAATATAATTCTACTGTTTGTGCTGGTGAACCTGATGTGTCATCTGGAGGTCTAAACACTATGTACAACCTGATAAAGAACCTATGTTATACCCCCTAAGCTTGAAATGAATTGACCGAAGGTGAGAAAATTACACATTAAACTTCAAAACAGAGTTGGAGATAGATTCTCCGAAGTTCTCCATTTTCTACGCCAAAGAGGAACTTTGGTTCTCCTCCCTGCTCTTGGATATCTTTGTGCTTATGAGTTTGTCTAAAATGGGAGCCTCGAGGGGGATTGGGTCAAGACACCTTTCATGAGCAGCACCAATCACCTGCAACACGAAATTTCAGAAATTAATCAATAACAGAAGCTATAAATGTTGCATTTTCTTGGTCAATGCTGGATCATTTAAACACAAATGTGGGAGTTAAAAGTGACTATCATGAGTTTGTCATAATTAGGCAAGAATCATAAGCCAACTCGGACACCAACGAGTCATATTTATGAAAGTTTATGAAACCTTAGAAGGAACATAGATAGGTTCTTTTAACTTTTTAAGGTTAAGTAGTACATTGAAGGAGCAACTGCAGTGTAATTTACTATAATCCCTCTGAGGTTTCTTAAATAACTAAAATGTAAGTCTTGCGAGTTCCGCCAGAACACAGTGGAACTGGTTTTTGGTTGTGAAGCTCATATCTTACTAGTAATTCAGAAAACTAGTTAAATTGACACTAGGACCGAGAATTACTCACTATATCAGACCTGAAGGCAGTGTTGTTATGGATCCACTACGACATTAACATATCAAATAAATTAATCCTTCAACACAATGATGCACTATCTAGATACTTACTGAAAGGGCAGGACATCAACATATTTGAAATTTCAATTCTTCGGTATACCATAATAAGAAGACAAATAAAGTGTATCGTCTGTGCTAAATGAATATTGATTAAATTGCAGAAAAGACAAGCCACCATAAAACTTTCAATTATCTTAAATGACAAAAGCCTTATGCACTGATGACATGTGATTACCTCTTTTAGCAGGAAATCAATTGCTGCATCATCGTCTACAAACTCTTTCAGTGGATTCTTCAGAAATTCAATATCCAACTGAATCTGCTGAAATCCACTACGATTGAATGTCTGGAGTCGCACAAACTCTTGTAAGCTCTTCAGGCAAAATTTTATTACGGTCGATATAACTGACTCCTGCAAATTATCGATATATTAGGTGCATTATGGTTCACTAAATAGACAATTTACTATCCAGCGATACTATGTTACAGATACTGGCCATGATTTTATAGCTTGCAATTGCTAAAAAAGAGTTAAAGCCAGTATATGGAAATTCCAAAGTCTCTTATTAGTTATTACTAACCTTCCAATTAAGAATAGCTACTACAGGCCAACTGAGAAAACAGTATGACACTAACTAAAGCCTCACAATATTAGAACCACCAAACTTCTATATCAACAAGCATCAACTATTGCTGGCCGAATACTTGACTTCGTTGGTACCTCAGTCAGTTTCATTACATTGAAGGAAAGAATGATTCATTACAAGTAGTTCATTCTTGACAGTATATAGTTATTACAGTTTTAACATAACCACCTTATTATACTACTTTTTTTAAAGAAAATGTTGGCACATAAACAATTATGACCTACTTGATTACCATCATAGCCAACCGAAAGACAGGACTCTTGAACACTAATGAAGTCTAGCTATGTTACAAAGTTTCAACCGGTTCTCACCTGTGTGTACTGAACTTTAGTAAATATCTCCATCTTTTGTTCAAATAACTTGGCAAGATGACTTTCTAAAAATTGGCTTCTCACTCGCTGTGTATTTGTTCGGGTTAACTTATCTTCACGTGTTGGGTTGCTACGAGAAGAATTAGTACTCCCTGTACTGTCAGAATGGCGATGCCGCCGAACCAGTCCTTGAGGTAAGATCTGTCGGACTTCGATTCCTACAGCTTCCAACTGCAAGGAAATAGAGACTAGTTAAATCAATCCTTGTTAAAAATATAACAGGACTCATGTCGATGGGCTATCAAAACATTAAAAAGAAATTGACCTTGCCCCATGATAACCATGAAGCCTTTCCAAGAAGATTTAACAAATACTAACACGATAACCAATACTTAAACATAGCTCCAACAGACTTCATTAACAACAGAAACTGCATTCAGCAACTCCAGATGTCACAAAAACAGTGCAACCTGTCATAGCTTTGTGAAGTTTTTCTATGCATTTGGTGAAGTGAAATAATATGGAATTCAGGGGGCTCTTCGGTTCAATGAAGTCATCAAACATATGATTGCTGACATACCTAAAATCACGAGTTGTACGAGCTTGTGGCTTCAGATCCACTAATCCCAAGAAGATCACAATTTCTCATGGACAAGGGTAATTTACATCCCTCAACTATTCTAAATACATGTGTATGCTCATGTATTTTTTATTTTTAGCATGTTAACACCAATTATTTCCTCTTAATATGTGTGTGTATATATATATATATATATATATATATATATATATATATATATATATATATCCCTTTTTTTATTTAAAATAAAAAACTAGAACTAGCATATAAAGCTAGAATGACCAAAATCTTATATTTAAATTACTTGTAGGTGGTCTGGCAACTCAACCCACATAAAAAAAAAAAATTATGAACTGTAGGAAGCACTAATCTTCTTAGTGTCAACTTTGGAGTGTAAACAAACTGCCAATTTGGATTATAAAATTTACCCTCTATCCTCTCCATCTGAATACAAAGAAAGAATAATGATGAATGCATCTTTAAAAAGTAGTGTCTTAATCAAGGAGCTCAGCTTAGTATCAGCAAGCCTCCAGTGCTAGTTTGATAAACAAGTTCTTTTGTACATCCCACTGTTCCTGTTGCAAGCATCATTAAGGCTATGAAAAAGATAAACATTTGCAACCCAAAATTAATCTATCTTCTGTTGCTATCATAAACAAATAGGTAAACCTTATTCTATGACAACTGTTTGCAAGAACATCAATTATCCTTCAGATACAGTAACTTAAACCGTGTTCCAGCAGTACAAAATCTCACAGAAACATCAGATACTTAAAAGTAACTTCAAATGAAATATCTTCACTGGTTCGATGGTCAGAACAATCTGCACATATAGAAAGTCGACAGAAAATTGCACAGAACAAAAAAATGAAGAAATGGATCACATAGAAAGCTAACAGACCTCTTGAAGCAGCAGGTCAACAAACATGTGAACTTCTCGTGGTTCCTTGTGCTGTCAAAATATTCAGCATAAACATCAAGTGGAAAAGTGTATTTAAGTAATACAATGAAGCCAAACTAGCCATCAACCCAACATTCACCTTGATCCAGTTAGGTGTGGTGAACCTCTTTTTCAGAAGGATAGATATCTTTTGGGTTTTCATATTTATATACTGCAAAAAAGAAATTAATTAGCTGTGACCATAGAGAGATTTCAAGACCATAAAATAGGTAGGTAAAAGAAAACAACTCTTTCACAATAAAATTAAAGCAATAATCTCTTTGGTTTTTGTAAATGCATCAAAATAATAGCTATAATCATACCTAATTATATTGATCATAACAGAACCCTCATAGTCGTAGCAAGGTCAGTCGATTGCAGGGTTTGCTGTACTGATGCATACCGCCTAATACGGGTAGTACATACCGGTCTGACAGGATACCGGTATGCGGACTGCCCTCTATCGGACGATACCAATCATTTGACCCTATATTGGGTGATACGAGATCAGTACCGGGCGGTCATGATTGAAATCCGATTGTTTCCATCCTGTACCGATCGGATTTCGACCGTTACCGATCAAGGGCTGAGATTGCCCTATTTCAAACAATTAATTTGACCGTTTGGGCTTAGAAAAGAGTTTTTAAACTCTTTCCTCCCCCCTCTTTCAACTCATTTTAAGTTTATGCACGGAAGGGGAAGGGGAAGCTAATGGATGATTTTGGGCAGATGCGATAGAACATACACGACGTAAACACAGAATGAAGCTCATTGTATTCATAATTGTCGTACTATGGAGAATCTTACGACCAACAACAGTATGGTGATAGTTGGTCATACTTCTCTGAGCAACAGTACGATAATCGATCTTACGATATGAAGCAGTAGATCAATAGCAAAAGTAGAAGTTCTAACATTCTCTATGCTCCGCACCAATATATGTCATATTCGTTTTTGCATTAGGAGCCGCCTCAGACACGTGGTTCACGACAATCCGACTACGACCATCACCACATTGATGCACCAATGGCATATGATATATCAGTATACTATGTTGTGGGATCAATTTCAAGATTGGGTCTGACAAACATATTATATTAATATACAAATACATAGGATCGAGGGCCCCGATCAATCACTCGTAGAGTCCCGTCATTCTTTTTGGTAGCAAAACCATGTATATCCATCGATTGATTACTTAATTTATTTGAATCTTAAAGTTTAAGTTGTATAAAAAATAATCTAACAATTCAAATATTTTTTTGTAGATAATTTAATATTAATGGAAGGACGATCCCTAGCATTCCACAAAGCTACTTCTCAAAACTCGAAAAAGATGTGACACTATTCTTTCCTAATTTACATTATTTTTGCTAAAATTATACTAAATTTATATTTATTTCTAATTTAAAAACCCTAATCAGTACGTACTACACCAAGTAGGGCTAGGGACACCAGTATAGACCGAAATTGCAATCCTTGATCCATTGACTTCATTCATTTAGTAACACATTAGAAAAGATTTCTCTCATGTATATCAATAGAACAAAAATAACCAGAAAATTCACTGCAAGTTGAAGTGATAATCATTAGTATACCATTCTGCCTTGCGTACAAACATGCAACACAGGTAACATTCCTTTTTAATGAAAAGAATAAACTTATTTTTCCATCTTCATTTTCAACATCTAGCAAGTTACCATGGCATATAAGGAAGTGGTTAAATTATGCTCTTTAACCTTGTAAGTGAATATTTACCATGAACCCACACAGCCTCACTAGTCATATTGAGACAAAAAATGATCTCACTAATTTCCTACAGAAATGGAAACCACTTTAACTTTCCAATGTGTAGCACATGGTCGCTCTAGTTACCAAGTAGCCTACTCCACTCAAACAGTTTAGTTCATTCATAGTCAACTATCTGCATATCAATAAAAACCACAGTTTCATAGCCTTACTCATTTCTATGTTGAAACTTTAACACCAGTGAACTTCCAATACATATATACACACACACACACACACATACACACACAAAACTGAAGTTTAAATCATAATTAATGAGATGCAACTAATACATTCAAATGTTTAACCAACAGCTTTGGTTAGTCTAAGTTCACTGGGTTTTGGCAAAAAGCTATAAGTTAGGTCCCGATTAACCGTGAGCCATAATAGGTCTAAGTTAGATAAGCCAGAAAGGTACTGGCAAGTGCACTGTTGAGCCATGCCAAAACATGGCTAGACCATCTTTTGGCTTGTACTAGCAGGGACAGGGATGTTATGATCGGAATAACATGGTACTGTGCCATCCCTGAAAGGCATTGGCAAATCTGAGCCACAAGAAGATATTTCTTTTTCCATCTACAACCTGCTCTCTCTATGAGAATGCAATACTGAAGCAAATCCACTGTTTCTGCAGTCCATGGCCATTTTAGCTGCAGTATTTTGTCCTAGAACAGAGCAAAAGCACTAATCACATCTGTTATCCATGCTTATTGTAGCATCATAAAGGTTCATGTACTTTTTTGCTGGTCTATGTACAATAAACTGCAGATCAGATAAAGAAAAAATGTATCATAAGAGGTACATAAGCATGGCAATGAGTTAAGCTACTACAAGGTATTACTATCAAGATCAGTATGCAGATGTTGTTGCATCACAAATTAAAGTATCAGTACTAAAATGCAGTAAAGGATAAAAACGACAGTGAGAAAGGCTTAATATGTTGAGTTCAATTAGTCAACCTATATCTTAATCTAGAAGAGATGATACCCCAAATTTTTTAACGTTAGCTATATCATAAAATAGAATGTATGATTTCCTTGATTATTCTAGTCGACAGAGTCTCCATAATGACAATCTGAACTCAAAAAAAATGGTTAATTTCAATCTAATTAAGTTAACTAATCTAGACAAAGTAACACTTTAAACTGTGACAACAACCTTACAGAGATCACATCTTGGTTCAGCAGAGCAATCAGCATGCATTACTTTTGCAATACATTAATAGGCTACATGGTCAATATATTGCAACTGAAGCAGCAATCAGAAAATACCTCCTTGTCTATGAATCGATACAGTTATGGTCTCAATTTTGTCAATGGCATAGATTTAACAAATTCATTATATGCTGCATGCTTAATTCAACACTCTCATTGGATAACCAGAGCAATAAATAGAGAGAAATTCTTACAAGAAGCAAGAACCTTTCACCAGCTGAACGGAATATTCTGCAGATCTCACCAGGTACAAAAGCTGGTCCATGTTCATAGCCACGGGCACCACCTCCAGAAAAGGAAGCAGCTATTTCCTAACAAGTATATTATAAAGAATCATAATATCACTTGACTGTTATAAAACTAGCCATAATTAAGACAACATACAGTAGAATTTTGTCATTCAAAGCATGTAGTACAGAAAATAAAAGATAAGGCATTAGCTCTACCTCCATAATTTTGGGTATTGCAATCTGCTCTATGAAGACAGAAAGTTGAGCCAGCACAAGAACAAGTCCTGTCTGCACTTTGTCCACTTGTATTGCATCTATTACACTTGAATCAGGATTTGCAATATAACCTCTTCCACAAAGCGCAAGAAACAGCTCATCGAGTTTCTGAAAGAATCCTTGGAAACCTTCTTGCACCCAATCAACTATTAGGTCTCTCAGCTTTGCTAGCAACTCCAAATTATCATCAAGAAGCTGACGGAATTCCTGCATTTAATGGGTTGCATAATTACATAATTACACCAATCACACCAGATAAATTTAACAAAAAACTAAATTAAAATATGCTAATTTGTCATGGTACAAATAAGGAAGGGGACTAAACATCACATATCAAGGAGTCTTGAATAAGGTTAAACAAGGGTTGATACTCTCTCAAATGAGGAACATTTATGCGACAAAACTATATGGCCCACTGGATTTGGTCAAAAAATATACCATACATCAGACAACTCAAATTGTCAGTCCATATTTTTGGTGCCTGATGTCATATACGGGAACCCATAGTTGGTAATCCAACAAAAATTACTTCAATCCAGAGGAATTTTTTTTATGATATACATATGAAGAGCCCCAAGGGTTTTCTTTCCATCAATGAGAAAATCTTGTATTACCAACAAGAAAATAAAGTCCATAGAGATGTAGCTAATTTTTTTAAAATTGATCCTATTAAAGATGAAAAATATCCTATGTCAGTCAAGATCCAATCATATTGCATTATCTCCAAGAATATTAAATCAAATAACCCAAAGCAGCACTTTCTTCTGTCTTTGCATTTTTAGAGTTTGTACTTATCAGCAATTTTAAATATTTATTATGTTGTCCACATTGGGTGTACCTAAACACAGGAAATATAAAGTCATTGGCCTAGGTTCATACCAAGATCTAGAATATAAACTATAGGTCCTATAGGGTGAAATCTGAACAACACCCATTGGCCTAGGTTCATACCAAGATCTATAATATAAACTACATAAGTATCACTAATGATGATGAAACAGCTTATAAGATAAAATAGATAACTTTTGCACTCAATGTTGCCTATACTTTGGCTTCTTAGTAAGGCTAAAGCCTACTGTACAATCCTTCATTCATGGCAGGCAGTTGAGCAAAATGACCTTCGAGTGATGAACAAAGCTACCTCAAGCAGGCTTGAATACTTTATTAAGAAATGAAGAGAACAATAAAGTCATTTATAGAGGGAATCTGGTAAGACAATGTCAATAACATTGACCTTTTAATAATTGTAAAAATCTTGACCATTACGGATTGACAATAAATATATGCATCAAAAGATGAAATGATCTCTCAACACTAATACAAAGAGCACTTCATTGGTAAAAAGCATCAACACGAAGCTGATGATAACCAGCTGCGCAATCAGTTATATTTGTCAGTGAAGGTTCCACTTTTCCCGTCTTCACATTCAAACACCAATAGGCAGTGAGAAAAAGAAAAAGATGCAATGAAGACAGATATGGTGAAACATCAGAATACAAACATATGCAATCTAGAAACTTAGCTAGTATTATGCATCCTCTACATCTTTGATTTATACTTTTTAGTTTCATGCCATGTTCTCAGAGAAAAAAAATAATGGGTTCCTTTATTAGTTGGTATCACAAAAACATCATAGCATAGGCCAAGAAATAAAAGATCCATCATCACATGATGCCCTCTTATCTTTGTTCACAATTGCAACCGGTTTGCTTGTTGATTGACCACTTATCACTTCTTGCATATGCTACTCAAAGTCTAGACACCTTTTTTCTTAAATATAGACACCTTTCAGATGCCAACTCATGCATATAAGTTCTTGTAAATAGTATAGACATGTTAGTTCTTCATAAGCATTGGAATGCTACCAAAGAGCATTAATTTGTACTTCCTAAGACATGGAACCTTCCTCAGAATTTCACTGAGAGAGATGCACAAGAGGCCAATCATGTAAATAGCAGAATTTAACCATCACCATAATTCAAATAAGAGACATACTCCATAAAAAAGTATAATTTACAAAGAGAGGTAATCTATCATACATCAAAGAAATGACTCGTAATTTGTCTAAAACAATCAAGAATTACATTCCAGCAGAAGGTTAATAAGACAAGAACAAACAATTGATATTCAATTTACATCAATCTAATTTTTCAAAAACATGAATTGTCATATAAAGAAACAGTATAATCCTCATATGTACAATTTCATTCAGTGCACTGGTTTGAGAATTAGTCAAATACTAATTCAACTCTGCATCTTTGTACCAAACAAAAGAGAAACTATTATTATGTAGTTCGCATCCTTAGATGAAGATAAAATTTAATAATCATCTCACTGAACTACAAGCCTTACCAATAAGAGATCCAAACTACCCTGTATCACAACCTTTTTGCTGCCTTCCAGTGCATTTTGCAATGAAGACTCTTCTGACCCTTTCTTTGGCATAGGTTGGCTTTTGGCAAGTGCTTCTGCCAAATTAAGAAAAGAAGTGTTTTCCTATAAGTAAAATAACTAATTTCTTCACTAATATTCACAACACATTCAAATCCAGATGATTGTTGTGAAATTATTTCCTCCATCAAGGATATAAGCGCTGAAAATGAATGACTTCATTATATACTGTTTATACAACTGAACAAGGAGAGAATAAGGTTGCACTGTGTCTATAATGGTAGAAATATTAAAGCAAAAAATAAAATCAAATGTCTCCAAAAGTACATATGAATTATAATGAAATAACCCCACTATCTTAGAGTTAAATCATAGACATGATACCAGAATAGAGAAAACTGTGGATCTACAACCATATGCTAGCAGGAAAGAATTTCTCATCTCATATTAACACAAAATCCTCTCTTTCAGATGTAACTTGCTTTCTTTCCACATGACCTTCTTATGTTTGACTTCATCTACATCATTTTGGCCACATATTTTAGGCCATATAACCTGTAAATTGACAACCTATAAATCTAATTCTGAAGAACATTGATATTTGTATATCCACATTCAGATCTACAGAGAAATCTATGCATTGGCTTTATTACTGCTAGATAAACACTTATAATAGACAGAATAACAAACTTACTAGTCGCTTCCAGACTTGGCTCTTGAGTTAAATCTACAGCAATTGGCATATTTATTTATTTGTGACAGTTAAAAGTTAATAAGACTTGCAGTTAATTATCAAGGAAACTCTTACCACTTTATACTTGATATATTAAGTTCTTGTAATAAACAGTTGATACGTGAAAGTTGATAAGAAATGCAGTCAAGAGACTATTAGGCAATCTATTATCAATTCACATATCCCATTGTTTCATGACTTCGATTTCCCCCACAGTGGCTGGAGTCATATTTCTTAATTCTGAATCTGGAAGTCTAAATATTTCTTCCAGACTTGACATCAGAAGTGCTCCTTATTCCCATTGCATATATATGTTCGTACCACCTACTAAGTGCAAAGGTGAGCAAGTAATATTTCCTCAAGTTGAAAGTTTCTGACAATGTCATGTCAACAAAGATGCTTTCACAAATTACAAAGGATCACCATTAGCAGCAAGAGTATCACCTGAAACTTCAAGAAGAAGATGGGAGAAGGAAGTCGAGATAAATTGTCTGATGATACTCCTAGCAGCCTAAAATAAAGTTGAATAAGACCCATAAGCAGAGGAACATCACAAACTAAACTATCATGAAGAAGAAAAACATTTCAAGGTAACCTACAATGTATCCAAGGATGTGAATCATGCAGAGGAACATCACAAACTAAACTCTCATGAAGAACAAAAACATTTCAACATAATCTACAATGTATCTGAGGATATTAATCATGCTTTAAAAATTAATTTTGATAAATAAACCATAAGGCTTCGATTTCAAAACTCTCACAGCAAATACTAGAGGCAACCAAATTTCATGCCACCAGAGCTAAGGAGTGATCTAAGCATTACAAGAGAAACTTCTTGAGTTCCTTTTGGTGTTCGTTCCTCTGTCCCACAATATAGAGAAATATTAAAGTCATTGTTATAGCCCACCCATGTCTTTTGGCTCTCTATCAGACATACATCATGTGCTATACTGGAATGAAACACGCTGTGGAAGGGCAGGTACACTGGAAGCAACTGATCAACTAACCTAAGATGATCTGAGCTCACATCATGTGCATGATCTGAGCTTATTTTAAAAGACCTCTGGAAGGGCAGATACACTGGAAACAACTGATCAACTAACCTAAGATGCATGTCTCAAATGAGAACCAGTTTTGGACTCACTGGTACTATACGATGCAAGTACAGTTATTTTACCCAAGTTTTTCTTTTTTTTTTCATTTTATCTATTCTTATAAAGTTTATATGTATAATTTTACATTTTCTTTTAATTATTTCTTTACATTTTTTCTGCTGTTGCCACAAAAGGCGGTGCCATGTGGCACAAGCTTAAATACAGCATGTTTTGTTCAATATGGCACAGTTTAAACACAGCGTGTTTCATTCCAGTTCCACAAGAACTTCAAACCTTGGTATATGGTTTATAATTATTAATCTAAGTCCTATTATCCTCAACAAAAATAGATAACAATGCACAGTGATGCTCCTAAATGATGATAAATTCAAATGTTCAGACTCGAGATAATTAGTCTCTTAAAATATACCAAACTGAATTGGTTTCAACAAATTCGTCTAGTTCATCTACTGTTCTTAGTGCATGACGGATTAAACTTTTTCAACTTGAAGTTTTATGAACTTTTATAAACAAACAGAAATGTATGCAAGATCAACTTATGTACTGAAATGACGAAAAAAATATAGTACATTTCCTGTTTCTGTGAGCAGAAGCACAATTCTTTGAAAATGTTTTAAGGCACAACATAGTAGTGATCAATATTCATGTCAAAATTATTAAAGAGTAAAAGAAAAACCTCTAAAGAAAAAGCAGGAAGAGCAGCCTCAGCCAATACTTCATCCATCAGTGTCACATCTTCCCAAATAACTCCTGCATTATGTCAATGGAATATTAAGTAGGAAATATATAACTCTTACAAGCTGCAAAATTGTTTGTCCCATTATAGAACAATCTACAAAAGACAAAGTATGAACAGCTTTAGAAATGAAAATTTATCTATTTTACATGGTGGATGTTCCATTAGGAATCGGCATGTTATTGGTCACAAGCCATTATAGAAACCTAAGAGTTAAGATATTTGTCACTGACTACAACTGTTGAATTGGTAAATATTACAAAATGCTTGGCATCAAAAGACACTGAAGCAATTAATTTGTGGCACAAATAGGTAATGATAGTTCAAGCAACTCAGATTGGTTGTGTGTGATGTAGGTTATAGTTCACCAATATGAGAAGGCATCTTAAATGTCCAGAAGATTGCAACCAAAAAAGACCTCGATGGGTTGTATCATACAGACTTAAGTAGAAACATTATCAGATATGATGTCCATGGACACAAATAAATTGTAAATCAAAGTCCTGATAGTGGATGAGATAATATTATTGTGTTAGACCTATATGTCTTGCCAAAAGAAATTTAAATATATATAGGTTAACATCAGGATGCACACATGTAGATGCTTACCAAGTGAAGAGTGTTACTGAAATTTAGAAAAGATATGCAGCCGCATTTTAAAAGTAAATTAACAACAAAATTCAGAGAACATCAGAGTAATGGTGATCCACATACAGCATAAATTCATAGCTAAAGTCCTTACGTATCATTTTCAGTATATCTGCAGATGTCATCCTTTCTTTTACTCGTCGTTCAATAATTCCATAACGCCTTCAAGTACAACAGTGAATAAGTCATAAGTACAAATGACTTCAAAAGCTTCTCAAAATTATTTAGGCTGAGAAACAAAATACAAACACATTTAAAAATAAGACTCAACTTATCAATCACAGAACTAAAAACTTACTTGGTAAACAACTCCTGTATAAGTTCAATGAGTCGTCTTTCCGAATCAGGAAATATAATAAGATAGGCACGGATAATCTTGGAGACCTCACCAACAGAAACCTAGGTAAAGAAGGTTGTATAAAAGATCAAAGATTGTTATCACCTGAACCCAACTGATAACAAACAAGAAAAAACTAATAACTTGAATGACAAGGGAATCACCATACTTCAACAAGGATAACAAGAAAATCTAGTGGTCATATGTGTAAAATGGAGCTACAAGCAAACACAATAAGTTCTTTGCACAAAGAAGGCAACCCACTTAAAAAACTAGAGCAGCCTTCTATTCACTACAAGTCACTAAAATTTTGTACATGATCCCTCTAAAGCAAAAATAATTGTGAACAAACCTTCCAGCTTTGTGAAAACCTTCATTTTACTTTGGTTGAGGTAATTAATTCAAAAACTGAAAAAACCCTAACATGTACCAAACTCAACTGGTTCAGATAACTAAATAACTAGTAAAATGAGATAATTCAACAACAACGCCTTTATTATCATAACCCATTGGAACTAACTGTTAATGCCAAAAGCATATTAATTAAAATTTTCATTAATCACAAAAAAGTAAAGAAGAGTTATGAAGATTTTAGTAACCTCCATCAGATCAACAAATGAGAAAATACAAGCTCACAAACACTTGTGGACACCTATGTTTATGTCACATTTTTAAGTTAAAATCAAGAACTCACTGAATTCATGTTGTATAAATATGTATTAAACATAGCTCAAAACTGATGGTCTCTAAAACTCAATTTCTGCAGCCCTGAGATCATTTAATTTAGTATAACTAAGTAATTAACCAAAGCCAAAAAACTGGGAATCCACAGCACTGCATATTTCTAGTTTTTTTGGAAGATCTGATCTACGCTTTCTTGACAATGATGAATCATTCATCTTTATTAACATTTTTCTAGGAGAATCTTAAATTATATAATTCTTAGCCAATGTTTCTAATGAATAGGTAACCTTCGACAATATATCACATCCCAAATGTAAAGGGAAAGATCTTCCAAAATACAATCCTAGATGGGGAATTCCAGGAAGGCACGAGCACTAGATCTGTATAACAACTGCACTAGTTACTCTGAAAGAAACAAAAGAAACATAGATGTGCTGCTGCATAATACCAATTCAAGGAACCAATACCAGTTCTATGAAACAAAAATTAAAGAACAAGACAAATTTCAATAGAAGAAGAATAACAGATGGAAGCTACCATGTGTGTGCCTGTTGGTGTTTTTAAAGAAAGTATTGTGTCTGATAATTTTCCTATATCAGATGGTTCACTAGTCTCCAAGGTGTCCAATGCTGAAGCCCCTGTCTCCTTATGTTCATCCTGAAGTGTCATGAGATAGTCCTCTAATTTCTCAAGTAGCTTTGTCTTTAAGCTATCCACCTGGCAAGATGTAACAAAATTGTTGGCAATCAAAATTGGATTCAGATAATCTACTGCACTTTTAAGATGATAATTATGCATTATTTATGCTAAGATGATATCAACCACAGGTCCAGGTAAACATAGAATAAACATTGTTCTGAGGATAAAGAATCTAATGCATGTGAACACATTGTGCTAAGAAAAAAGACATTACATATTCATTCATTATTGGGTGGGTGGGGGGAGGTCTCATCCTCCCAGAAACTCCAAATATCCACATTTATGATCCCTTTTATCCGAGGTACTGCACCAACAACAAGCTTCAATGTCCCAACTATTTGGGCCGTAGGTTATTGTATCTTTGAAAAGATATGCCCAATGACTTTTGTAAAAAAACAAAATCCTTAATTAAACTAAGAGCATTTAAATCTTTATTTATAGTTTTTAGTAAAGTTTCTCACGTCTCCCTCTATCTCCTAGTACCACCGATAGTATTGGTCTCCCACTATCTCACTAGCACATGTTCATTACACCTCCTCAACACAATCACCTCAATGTTCCTATCTCAGCAACTTTATTCAACATACTAAAGTTGCAAAAAATGTAATAGAAAAAGGATTGCATATAGTGGATTCCTGACACAAAAAACAACATAAGACTATAAGAATTAAACATAAGACAAACTAATTTGACAAAGTAGTTTCCATTCATCTTAAACTCCTAGATTTCTAGTTCTTATTTCTTCAAGCAGTGACTTTACTTGTACATTTCAGACTATGCACTTAGAGAATCAAGAGTATAATGGATTATGATTTCAAACTGCTTGTGACAAAAGAAAACCCTTGGTAAATCCAAATTTGTGTCATATATTTGTTATTAGAGATGAGATTGTGGTAAATTTTGATGGCCTTTGTTCATACTTCATAGGTCAGCAGGGTTCATGCTTCTGCTTTGGTAAATTTGTCATGTTACACAAATCTGACCATTATTCATAACATTTTCTTTTTATATCACTCTTTCCTATAAAATTAGTTTTGTTGCCAGGGGTTGGCATGCCCGACACCAATCAGCATGGCACATGTTGTGACATGAGCATCATGCCATGCTCATATCAGTACCCTATCGGAAAGGTACATCATGACCCACACATGAACACAGTCATAAAAAGCTTTGTACATGGAATGCCAATCCTTAGCCACAACATATCTAATAGCTGGTAGAATGACATTAAAATAATGAGAAACAATAATAAACAGATTAGCTGCTATATTATCAGGATGTTGTTATCCTAAGAAAATAGAGTGCTCAATTAGCCAATTTATAACAGTATACAGCATATAATCAACTAATACATAAAGCATTAAGTGCATCTTATTCTGTGACGTGTGACCAACCCAGGTTCCTCGATGAAAATGTAAAAGGAAAAAAACCACAAGTGCTGTGATCCACTCAAGACCAACTCCTATGGGGACATGAGTAATCATAGATACAATGAACAGATCAATCATGAATGAAAACCAAAAGGCAATAGCATAACTGGAGAAAAAGGAAAGAAATAACACTTGAAGACAGGTAAGAAAAAGGGAGAAATACCAACAGGGAAGTTCAGCTGCTTTAGAAGCACAACAGCTTCAGCTCTTGCTTCAATAGGCTCAGAATCCGAGTATATTTTTGCCTGAAATTACTTGTCTTCAGAATTCACGAATCCAAAAATATCTTATGAAAATTGCAACACATTTTTTATGAAGATCAAAGACTGTTAGCATGCATCACTATGACTCCATGTCTTGCAAATCAAAACATTGAATCCAGAGATACTGACAAAAAAGATAATTCTAAAACGAGTCAAAAGCTACACAAGAGTCAGGAGGCAAAGAAGAGGTTGAATTAAAAAAAATGAGATTGCTTGATAACAAGTAATCTAAGCAATTGATGAAGGGCATTCCCTCAAAAGCAAGTAATAAATGATACATGTGCAAATTTTGTAGGTAAAATTCCAAAACTTCTAAACTTCAATTTCCTATACACAGATTGAAAAACCTTATAGACTAGTTGTCTAATTATCTAGGTAGGTACCATGTGAAAAAAAATATCTCCAGTTAAATTGATGCAGTGGTTCAAAAGACAGAATGGTTTTTTATTAGCTTAAGGTTTCCAATATGAAGCCACTAACATCCTTCACTGGAAGATCTTTTGTTTAATATACTGACACTTGCGAGAAAGCAAAGACCAAGTATGCCCAAGCACAGGGAAGACAGACCTTATACTTTAAAAGAAGAGTTGCACAGAAATCATCATTGCCATTCTAAACACAGAATTGCACATAGACCCAGAAAAATTCATGTGCCTCAGAAATTAAAATGTCAATACTTATAAACAATGCAAGTTCCTATGACGTTAAAGCTTGCTCAGGCTTTTTTCATCCTTTATAAGGGCAATACATAAGCAGTCAAGAAGCTATGGATGCTAAACATGAACCAAATTAAACAGATAGCTTCTACTAGCAGCATAACCATTCCAATGTATTAAGTTCATAGCCTCAGATGATAAACTTGCATTAGCATCAAAATGCTTATTTAGAGACCTTTAGAGGAAAGAGCAAAAATACTTGCTCTCACGGAAAACTTTTTAACCTATCTTTAACTCTAATTCCCAAAACAACTATTGCATGTAGCTTGAAAAAAAATCACAATTTTTTTATCCAATTCAAGTTTTTTCTACTTTGTAATACTTTATTCATGCTGACAGATAACATTTGACAACCAGCAGATTTTAAAGTGATTTTCTGTAGTTTTTCAGAGTATACTCCACCTCACTCCTCCAAAATGCAAGGAACTATAGGTTGTTAATGTTTTCCCTATAGGTTGTTAATGTTTTCCATAGCAATATTTATGCTGTCTATAAACTTTGAATACTGATTATAAAGGAAGAGAATATTTTGAAATTTAAAAGCTCGACAAACGTTTTGTGGAAAAAATTTCATCCACCAAATAGGGCGGAATCTGATGAAAAACAAAAAACAAGATTAGTCTTTAACATCATCCGTTCAATCAGTAAACATACAACAATCAGATGGACCTTTTCCAACCATCGAGCCCAGTTGAACTAGTTCTGAGGTGATCTTACTTTAACTTGATTCACACCTTTAATCCTTGTCGATTCATATCATTTTACCAGTGCATCTATAGATCTCTTATGGACTAATTTGTATGTATAAGCACCAAAACAAAAGGAGAGTTAAGGAGAGTCAAATGACCAGATTATAAAGGTAGAGCACACCACTAGGAAGATATACCCTTGATGATAAATTGGATACCAAGCTCTGGAGGTCTCTTAGTCATATTGTGCACATTTTTCATTTGTCTAAACTCTAAAGAAATGTGGAACATTGGATTCAAAGCAACACTAGTGAAGAAGTAACTTGAAACCTTACTGAAATGTACGACCTACTCAAAAAGAACTCCTGGTATCAAAATCACAGACATGATGTATGGTTTTTAAACAATTACAGACCACCATTTTAGCTTGGATTAGCCAGTATAGATACACGCAATTAACCCAAAGGAGGGAGAAAAATTGATGAATAACCAATTAAGTGGTACAAACTAGGCACTAGATTTTAACTACTTATTTTCCCTTGAATCTGTTGTTCTCTAGGAAATTTTGTGACAGAGAATTGGAAGAAAAAGGTTAAGTTACAGAAAGCTGCAGCAATAGACCATCCACAGTGATTTTTCTTCTGTTATCAATGAAATGATTGGTCACTTTCAGTTAGTTACTGACACTGAGCCTTTACACACTATTGTGGTTTCCTCACTGAAAAATTCAGATTCCAATTTGAGACGGGGACAGGCCTTGGTTGCACAATATTTCACATAGAAAATATAGATGAATGGTACTAAAAGAAAATGGTCTCTTGATAGATCCGTATACTAATTCAGTTTAACAATGTAAACATAAAGTCCATAGAGTTACCTGAAGGTTCTTAATAACCAAATCTATTGCCTCTTCAGATGCTCTCTTACAATCTTGGAAGGATGAATCCCCATATGCCTAGTAAACCAGAGACAATTGCAACAACATCAGCCATAAACAATATCAACCAAAGTTAATGACAATAAATAACGCAATATTAGTAAACAGTAAATGATATGAATTAATTGAAAGATTAAATTCTACCTCAAATATAGGCTTAGATCCAATGAAAAACCTCACTGCATCTGCATAAGCTTCTGCCTTGATACATTTTGCAAGTCGAGTTGGAAGATCATAAATGAACTGCAATTATAGAAAACAAACATACATGAACATGTTCTCAAACACCTCAAGCAGGTCAATTATGAATTACAAATGTTAAAGCTATGGATGTGTTCATGCACCTGGTAAGATACTTGCACAAGCTAATCTCATTTTCTATATGTAGATATCTGTAACCTAAGCACTCTATGTTACGATAAGCAAAACTTAAAGCCTCAAACAATAAAAGCAATTCATCAACTATACATAATTCATCACTTTTTTTTTCAACATGGAATGATGGAACAATTATAAAGAAAGAGACAATATACACCAAAAAACATAATTCTTGCTTGGTTTACTATTATGAGCTACACATAAGTTAAAAGAGGCCAAAGAATTTATGCAGATATACCAAGGAAAGCTACAGATTTTAACAAGTCAGTGATGATGAAATAAATTGTATGACCATTATCAGAAACCTTATTCAAGCAAAAGATGACACAAAGAAAAAGCAAAGAAATTCATCGAATTTACTGTATCCATAGTGCATAAGTTGGTTAGCAAAAAAAATACATCAAGCAAGATATATCATTGAATACTTTTATCACTTAACACCTTAACCACTCAAATATGAAATTATCAAGTGCAAGAAAATTTTATATAGCCAATACATTTAAGAACTTCTAGTTCCAAGCCAAGAAAATTAATTTCAAACTACTAGTAAAAGTTAATAGCTTCAAAAACATACTTGAACTTTTCTAAGAAGATTCCGAGTACGGTGCAATTTCTCTATATGTTCCCTCTTCTCAAAAAGAGATGTATTCACCAAATCACTCTTGGATTGAACCGACGTAATCTGCAGCAAAAAGGAATAAATCAGCTCTTTTGGATAAATGGAAAGTCATCATTCAGCCCAAATTTCAACAAAGGCATACCTTAGCAAGGAGTTGCTCCATATTTGCCTCCATGCCAACAATGTTATTTTTCATTCTACAAGTAACTTTAGTAAGCTAGTGTGCAGCATTATTGTTTCCAAATGCACAGTAGTTTATATATAGCAGTAACTACACAAAAACAAGTAAACAACTAAAGTAAACCCACAAAATATGAGACTGATCAAGCTTCCTATTCGTGTTGCTTCAGAATCCAATAAATGATGTAAAGAAAATAAAATATATGAGAAAGGAGAAACAGACAATGGAAAAGTTGATGCAATATCCAAATCAAGTTGACTTCACATGTCTGCTAAAACTACAAGAAGCCACAAAAGATTGCGTGTGAAGACAACTTGTCAACAAAAGGGGGCATAAGAACCGGACTTCCAAAGTGCAGTAGTGATTTAGATCCTGCATTTTTTTTTTCTCTTTCTTCTCTTTCTTCTTTTTCTTTTTTTCCTTTTTTTCTTTTTCTTTTTCAGATCCTGTATGTTTGACCGCAACTATTAACTCTTAAATATTGAGCTGGCATAAAACTACATTTATAGGCACACCAATATACACTCAGATTCCTTCTTCGCCTTCTGTAAACTCACATTAATAGGTAAATACAAATTTATGCCAAAACTAGCTTGGCCCATAATTGTTTGCATGTGTTTTATGTGTTGAATATTACTAATATTGTTTGGATTAGAACACAAGTTCAATAAATTTGGTAAGGAAATCATACACTCAATCAATATTCTTTATGCCCCAAAAAGATGTTACACATACACCCTCTAAATTTTGAAATAGCATCAGTAACCTTCAAAATAGTTTATAATTTGTACGACTGCACCTCTATTCAGTCTTCAAAGAAATGAAATTTTACATTTAACTAGCAAATGGACAACCATAACCATGAAATTTTTGCTTCGGCACCAACTAGAAGCTTGGTATAAACTTTCTTTTTCCAGTTGGGTGCTTCAATTTTGTCCTTTTAGGCAGACCACAATTCAGTAAAAAAGTATTCCAGGTGTGCTTAACATGATTCTCATGGAAGGATAAAACTTAAATAAGCCATCTCAGCAAAAAATATAAGAAATGGACATATAGTAACTCCATATAACAGTAACACCAAGATTATGGTAAGCGAATGAGTAACATTACCTTTTTATAGTGTCAGTGGCATTAATGAATTTGTTATAATTCTCATAAACTAACATTTGCAGATCAGTATCAAGATTCTTGATTTCAGCTGCCATCTCAACATGCTTCTGAAGAAGTCCCTCCAAGTTTAACTTTTGAACCTACAGAAAGCACAAAGGAAATCATAGAAGTCATTCATCATATGATATCATATTGCAAAATTTAAGTACCATCAAATCAGCATCATTATGCAACTAGTGAATGAAGTTGCAACAGTGGTGTTGCATTTTGCACAACAAATCAATTTATCTCTGTCATCAAGAGTGCAAATGTTGAATTTAATCACATTCCTCCACCATGATTCCTCCACCATAGACCACATATACTTGTTCACTCAAATCATGCAACACCAGTTACCACTAAACTAAAGCTGATTGCCTACACAATTTCATCCTTTTGTTAAACATAACACCTGAGTATGTAGCAATCATCTTATGTTCACTTGTAGTGGCCATCACTTTTTAAATTGAGTCCACATACATGATGAGACAAGCTTTACCATATCTCTTGAAAAGGTGAACGATTGAATTCCTGAATCCGAGGATTTAGAACACATTGAGCTTTATGACAAAATAAAATGCCATCAATTTTGAGAATATCATGATTCAGGTTATCCTCTTACCAATCCAGTAATACTTGCCTACATGCATGACCTTGTGTCAGTTAGGGAGATAAAAATTACTTATCACTTCACCTGGTTTGACCTCATTCCATGGTTCTCTTTCTCTTTCCTTTTCTAGTGCCATTCATGTGCCCACATCCCCTGATGGCTGGATTTGTTGTTTTCTATTGTTTCGTGGACTTTCTTCCCCTGTTCTTCTCTTGCACTTTTTTCAGACGGTGCATATTTTCTAAGATGTCAACATTACTAGGGACATTATTTCGTACAGAGAGCACACAGATCATGATCTAAGCAAATTGTCCATTAGATTATATTTGAAACCTTTAATTTTAGCTTCGCATTTTACTTCTCCTGCAGTATGAGAGTTATATATATTATATATAAATATCTGTAAGCTCAATCTTATGTTATGCTTTTATACACAAAATCCTATCACTTGCATTTATAAGGACCCACAAAGAGTATGCATTGAATATCAAAAACAGTCACCAATCTGAGAAATCATCCTGGATTACGATGAAACACTCTTGTCCTACTAACATATCAAACAATAGTATGCAGCAGCATTCCAAACAAATTATTCAGCTATATTTCCAGGTAACAATTGCCCGGCTCTGTCAGTTCTTGATCCAATGAGCTTTGTTAAGCATAATAATGCTTCTCTTAGTTGATGGACTAACTAATACACAAAGCTTCTCTTACTTAAAAGCATCCTATGAATGGCACTGAAATCATAGTCTGTTCGTTGAAATTATAGCAATTAGTTTATTCCATCAAAAGCATTTCAATAGCAAGATCTTTCATCGATAATCCAGTTGCTTAGGAAATCTTTTGGGATTATCTAACTTGAGTGGTATCATATACCTCAAAGAACCTAAAACTTGAAAAAACCGCAATCATGATCAACCTTAGACCAACAATATTACTCTTCACTCAAAATGTGAATAATTAATTGACTAAAACATAAAGTGTTACAAAATGGAAATAAAAAATATTATGTTCTGATGTTTATAAAAAGAGAAAACTCGAAGCTGTATGTCTTTCGATAGTTTGTAAACTTCTCGTCTGTCCCAGTCTATGTATCTCTTAACATGGACAAAATTAAGTGGCCTTTCCAAATGCAAAAACAGAAAAAGGTTGTGTCGGTTTTCTTCACGATGTGACAAAAGCGGCTTGCTTAAAGAGTCACAATGTATTAGCTGAAAAGTCAAGACCAAACGCTCCATGATGAACATATCGACTCTAAGAACAGCATGATGGTTCAGAACATCTTGAAGGAATACTCTTAGGACCAACAAGAGGCCTAATAGAACTCCTTAGGAGAGGTCACTGACAATTTGAACTCTGCTGAATGCTAGTGAGCCTAACATGAGGGCAAGAATCAAGAAAATCAAATCCACTATATGAAGATCTTTTGAATCCCGTAAAAAAATTCGGATTCACAACCTTATCACGGTTCCAATACGGGAAATCTGGTGTTCCAATGCATAATGACGCCATTAGATCCAGAGGACGAGAAGTAGACCGTAATCCCGCAAAGGTAGAGAGATCCGGTGCCTAAGGCTCATGTAACTGCTGGGATCGAAGGAGTTCACGGAGTTTAGGGAGGCAGTCTATTCAGGGGCGGAGGCGGCTCCGACACCACCACCATAAGCCATACATCAATTACAATTCCAACATCCCTAACGACTTCGATGGAAAATCTACAATAAATCGAAGGGCTACGAAGCATTACGACGCCATTAGATCCTGAGAGGAATACGAGTCAAAGAACCTAAAGTCGTATGGGAGAGTTCAAAATTCTCGGGGAAATCTAAGAGAAATCAAAGGATTCCACAGCATTACAGCGCCATTAGATCCAGAAAGGAATACGAGTCAAACAACTCAAATACCGCAATAAGAGCCCAAGATTTTTGATACGTTCGCGACATCAGATCCAGACAGGATGAGGAACCAAAGAACCCAAAGAGAGAGGGAGAGGAGAAGCGGAAGAAGGATCCGGTACCAGGAGGCTCATGTAAACGTCGGGATCGAAGGAGGGGGAATTGATGGAGTCGGGGGAGGCCATCTTCCGGGGTGAGGCGGCGGAGCCGACGCCAGCGCCACCGCCGGCGGAGGGGTCGGTGGAGTAGAAGCTGGCGAGCAGCTCTCGTGTCCTCTTCGCCTTTTCGTCCATCGGGAAAACACCGTCCGTGGCCACCTCTTCTTCTCCACGGTTGTGGTCAGGCGTCCAACTCTTTGTGCCATTGTTATAGTTTGGCGAAGGGAGAGCCGCCCACTCAGCGAGGGCCGAGTGTAGACCAGCTCCCTTCGTGTCGACCCGGCCCAAACAGGTCCGTTTAACCCATCCCGTTGTATTCCTATCAGTTAACCCGTCCCGGATCCGAAACCCGATTAAAGCCTTATATATATATATATATATATATATATGTTCTTAAATTTAAATTTTTTTCATAGAACGTTCGAACTTTGAAAAATTTTCACGCCTATAGCCACATGAATATATTGTTTTACTCATACTTTGATTGAATAAATCGTAGCCTCCTCTTCTCTATATTATCTCCATTATTGTCCTTATATCATTGCTAAACCTAGGAGTATTGTGGATGTGGACATAAGCACTCATGCTAACTCTAATCGTTCTCGCCAAAATCTCAAGGATATTATATACATAGAAAGGATTAATCGATGAGATTAACCTGTATATAGAGAGGCAAACATCTTCAGCCTGTGCATAAAAGACATAGATAATCAAGGGAGAGTGATCGACATGATAGATAGTAATGGTTAATAAAAGTAAAATAATTGTTTTAATTAAAAAAAATTATTTGATAATTATTCAAAGTTGGAGAGCTCCGTGAAAAAAATTCAAGCTTTGAGACTTTAAAAAAAAAATTTAACATATATATATATATATATATATATATATATATATATATATATATATATATATATATTTTATGAGTGGAGTGATATTGGATGAAGAGGAGTTTGAGTAGAATCCTACAAGACTCTCCTGGCGTACTTGCTAAGCCTTTTTGAATCTAAAAAATATAAGTTTATGTAAGTAATTTTGTGAGCCTAAATTAAGTATCATATCATTTGAACGACGATAAGATATCGATTATATGACAATAAGGTATAGGCTTTTACTTTTGATGCTATTACTAAATAAATATTTTTAAAAAGAATATTGATATTCGTTAAATGGAGAAAATAAAAATATTGTATACATATAATTACTCGCTCTTTAGATCAACTACAATTGTATTGTGGCAAAACATGTTACCATCCGCAGGTAGCCCTCATGAAACGAGAGCAACAAAACCCCACTACGCAATTACAACAGCGAAGAGGCTTCATCTTCTTCATCGGGGCTCAGCTCTTCTCCATGCACTACTCGGAACTAATGGAACTGCGCGTGCGCACGCACGGACTGACGAGAACGAGCAGGAAGAAGACTCCGAAGCAGGGAGGTCCGCTCAGACCAAGGCCGCGATCGCCAGGCAATTGCTTGCCAACTTGGTGAGCATCTCGTCGATGACCGCCAGCGGCGAGACCTTGGCAATCTCCGCGAACCCGTCGTCGCAGGTGGAGAAGTCGGTGACGAGGGCGCTGAGCATGGTTTTGAGCGTACCCTTGTCCCTGGACTCCAAGGCAGCCGCGGCTTCGTCGAGGTTGTCGATCACGTCGTCGTAGTTGTCGTCGCAGTCCTGGAGGCTGCTCGCATCCCGCGCCTTCGTGCCGGGGAGGCTGACGAGTGCCGCGATGTGCGCCTGCGCCTTCTCCGCCTGCTCCCGGCACGCCTGCAGCTGCAGCTTCAGGAGGGCGGCAGGGCCGGCGAGGCCGGGCGGGTGCGGGAGGGGCTGGATCGACGAGGCGCACACGTCGGGGTAGTCCGTGTGGCCGCACAGCGCGCTGACGGCGCCGGCGAAGGGGAGCAGGTTGAGAAGCGGGTGGCGGGCGGATAATTGGGTGGAGACCGCGGCCGCGGGCTGCGAAAAGGCAGGTGGTGAGGGTGTCAGCTGCGACGGCTGTGACGACGATTGCAAGGGTGGTGAGGGTGTCGCAGGGGTTGGGGTGGTATTGGAAGGCGGCAGCTGTGACGGATTTGAGGGCGATGAAGGCGATTTCAGGGCTGGTGAGGGCGTCGCGGGGCTTGAGGTGGTAGTGACGGAAGGTGGCGGGAGGGCCGCGAGGTTGATCGGGTTGGAAGAGTTGCGAGGGACGCAGAGGGCGGTGGCAGGACGGGGGAAGGCATGGAGGAGGAGGAGGAGGAGGGAGAGAGGGAGGAGAAGCGCCAGTGCTGGCTTCATCGTGAGGAGCTGCTGAAGGAAGAATGGAGAGCAGTGTTGGGGGAGGGGGCGGAGAAGGAATAAGAACAGGAGGGGATGGACGAGATTGGAGGGAGGAGTCGTTGCTCGTCCACGGAAACAGGATCCGCACGGTGAATGGTAGCCGTTGGTAGGTAAGAGAGGTCTCGAAATGGACTCTCTGCCTATGGGCCCCGCTTCTTCTTCTTCCCTTCTTACGCTTTTGACCGGCTCTCCTTTTTCCTTGCACTTTGTTTACTTGATTTAGATTATCCCTGAAAACAAAGGAGGCATTTTTTTTTTAGGGTTAAAAATGGACATCGAAAGTCCTCATAGAACCCCGCAGGATTATATAGATTTTGGATGTAAATAATGTTGGTAGATATAACATAATTATTAAGGTATCTATTTACATGATTAAACTCGAGCTAATTAATTATAGAATATCTTCTGTAATTAATTATCTTTAACATTTTGATCGTTATATTTACAAAAATTATATTAAGATCCTTATACTTATAAAAATAAAATATTTAATCATGTTTCTCCTCACATCATCGATTCTATTGATAGAAACATCATAGAGTTTAACACATACCGACTCTATCTCACATTGATTTATCAACACATACGATATTTTCGACAACACATATGAATCCCAATATAACTTGTAAAAGTGTATAAACCAAGATACTAAAAATAATTAATTACATAAGATAAACTTTAATTAACCTTTTTAACCCCCAACGATAATCAAATAGAAAAAATTTGGTGTATTAGATCCGGTTTAGAAAATATTTTGATCTAACTTAAAGAATATTAGGAAATATAAGAAGGGAACTGTAATCCTCAGTATGAAAGATAAAAGGCCCAATTTCTCTCAGGAAACCACAACACATTTGGTCGGTCTGAGCTCAATGACATGGTTCACCCTTACAAGCAAGACATGGAGCTAATGGCAGGAAAATGTTCTTATATGTTGTTCATAGTGAATTCCCTGATAAGGTATGAAACATGGGGAAAAAATATTGTAAATATAAGAAACATTTGGCACGAAATAAAACATGGGAGTTGGACATTTGGCACAGAACATGCAATGCGGAAACTACAGAATCTTATGCTGCAACATTTGAGTAGAACACTGATGAAACAAAGAAATAGAACATGACATAGAAATTAAGCTCACATGCTCAGCTTGAATCTTCATGTTCCGCATCTCACACTTTGGCCACCAACAACACCTGTATAAGAAGTTCTATAAACATAGGATTCGAACAATGAGGGAGGAAGAGATTTAACATGCAACGATAGAAATGAACATAGCAGAACTGTGGCCAATGGGAAATTAGTGTATAGACATCATAACTTACAAGTACAACCTTGTCAAACAAGTTTTCGTGAACAACCAAGTTTCTTATTTGGTGGAAGGTGATCTTGAGCTCTGCATGAAATATGCGCCCAAGGGTGATAGCAGATAAAGATTTCCTCATGCAGTTGAGGAAATCTTTATCTGCTATCAAAGGGAACCGGCAAGGTTGCTGCAGAAGATCAAAACAGATGAGTTTAACTTTCAGGATCAGCACTCCTTGCAACTGTGGCTGGGCAAGTAGCATTATTCACCATGTAGTTAAGCTACCCAAAAGCACCCTGAGGACAGAAAAAAATTGGAGGATTACTCATTACTCTCAAATGATTCAGTAAATGGACAGTTGCTATACTCATTAACCACTTGGACAAACAAAATGTTAGTAGCAAAAGGACATCTTGTTGACCTCTTGATCTTGTCAAACCCTCTATTCCCAGTGACCAAACAGCTTAGAGGAATACTATCGATAGCTTCATATATCTTTTCACCAGTCTCTCTCCTGTGGATCTTCATCACAATAACAATCTGAAAAGTTACAAGCAGTAAGTCTCTTGACTTTTAGCAAAGAATCATCTTTCTATTAACAGGTTTGTAAAAAACTCAGAAATAGATCACCTCCTTTTGCCTGGAAAGAGTGCTGAGTATGTCCCAAGTTTTCAGCATCAGGCTTCACCCCATATTTCTTTGGGGTACCAGGGTCAGATAACTCTGTTAGTGTGGACAAATGCTTCTGCAGAGCCAAATAAAACCATTACCAAACCAGCTAAAGATTTATATGGATTAGTAGTGAGATCACTGCCACAACCAGTACCATATATTTTACACTATGTGTTCAACTTCAAAAGTTATAAAGATATGAAAAAAGTTAAAGCAAATTGGAAAGTGAGATCCATTAGCCTGAGACAATCATTTTCGATATATGCTTAGTATGTCACAACCTTTTCCTTGTTCAGTATGTAAACAATGAACCAAGTGAAAGAAAATGTGCACCAAGGGCAATTAAAAGAACAAAAATGCTTTAGAACCCTCCAAAAATGTGGATACGTATACAGGGTAAAGATCCTGTGTGCATTTATTTCGCCATCTCGAAATCAGCAAATCAAAATTGTATAGAGTTTTAATTTTCAAAAAAGTTGGTTTTCTTAAATTTTTGTGGATCCATGATTGCTAACTTAAACTAGACAGCTCACAAATTTACATGAAAAGAAAAAAAAATATTGAAGACAAATATATGATAAATAAACATTTTGATTTGCATTGGTATTAAGCTGAGAGTTTAGTGTCTAAAGTTTTGTGTAATAAAACCATATTCAGTTCTAGGATAGTTGGAGAACCAAGACCTAATAAAAGACCAAATGCAATTCATTTCCTCGGTCTACCTTTTTTAGCAAAACCACGCGAGGTCCACCTAGAAGCAATGACACTTCTCCCCATTGACAGTTCCTCGTGGCTCACGGTAGATGTCATTTGATAAGGTCCACACAAATCATTATTTCTCTGAAAATTAACCCTGAAGAATTGTCTGCTCTAGTGTGGGTTCCGCAAAATGTGCATGACAGAAAGCAGTCATACATGGGGGCATATGGGAGAGGAGTCAAATTTGAACTTTTATTAAGCATTCACCAATTCTTCAACCGATGAAACTAAATATAATCTTATCAGTGTCACTAACCTTTTAGCATTTAGAACCAACTCTTCATTTAACACCAACTAAATACAGAGATTTGAATACTTGCTGAAACAGGTAGAGGGTTATGGCCGACACCATAGAATGAAAGTGTGATAACAATCACGAGAAATGAACCGCACGGAAGGAAACTCCTAGAGGTACAATCTAGAAAAGGCTAAAACGCAAACAATTCAAACACTTTAGTAGCACCTGAGGGTTTTCAGTTCTGAATCTCTTAGCCCATTATAATTTGGTCAATTTTCTTGAAAGAACAAAATGATTTTCCAGTTCAACCATCATTCTCTAAGCGCCCGATCCAACAATTCGTTCCAGCTGGGGTTTCTTCCGTGCAGCCCAACTAAGGCTATCCTCGATTTATCCCGATCGGGTTAACACCGAGGAGGCGTTAAAACGAAAAAGTTTCTCGCGACTAGCACAGATGGAACCAATGAAACCAAGAGGAAGAAAGAGGGACGCGAAAGGATGGGGAGAAAAGAACTTGGGGAGAATGTGATCCATACGAGATCCGGTGGTCTCCTGCATCTGCATCTCGCCCTCTTCGTAGTGGCCCTCCTTCTGGACGTTGACGAGGATGAGATGGTCGCCATCACACCGCTGCACGGCGAGAACCGCGCCGATCGGCCGCCGTCCTCACTCCTCGAAGCGATGAAAGAGAGCTGTGCGAGCAGAGAAACGACGAGGCGGCCCAAATAACCAGCGTGGTGATGATAAAGACACCCCTTCTTTTTTCGTGCCTATATAGGAAGATTGGTTGACGAACATCGGACATCCGCGTGTAAATAACAGAAAAAGGGCGTTGCTTCCCACAGAGCAAACAGCTTTTGTCACCCAATAAAAGAGGGACAGCTCATCGGAAGCCACGATACATATCGTTTGTGGCCAACCTCGACAATAGCATCATGTCATAGCACAGCCCATAGGATAACATTATGCTATATTATTTTTGAATAAAAATGTAATATATTTTATTGGTAAAAATAAAATTATGTCAGCACTGCGTTTAAATCAACAATTGCTCCTAGAAATACTTTTTCTTATTTACGAGAATAAAATTGTATCAGCCTTATTCACATTGGTTATTCAAGTCACAGAAAAAAATCATGTCAACATTAGCAACATTTATCAGATAATGAAATAACTTACAGCTTGTGAAGATATGAAATCCTCCAGTAGTTTCTAGCACAGAACAGCTCGAGAAAAAGCAGTTTAACCAAGAAAGAGCCCAACAGCATCAGAAACAATTCAAAGTTTGAAAATCATACTGAGAATTTACACATGACAAAGTTTGGATCTCTTTCCACAAAATTAATCAAGTGCACAAGATTAATCACAATTTTCTGATATCAGTACAACTTGCAAACAAGATCACTACTTGAATTTTTTTTCTGTTCTGTTTTCTACTTCCACATGTTAACATAGCATATATTCTAGCAAATTTTTGGTCAAACTGCTCCAATTTCTATGGCGAGTGAGACATGTTGTGTATTTATTTTGGTCACCAAAGACTTTACTCAGGTTGTTATATATACATGGCCAATTGTGATAACAAAATGTGTTGATTTTTTTCAAAAGAAAAAACTCTATGAAATCAAGATTGAAATCATTGAACAAACACATGATTAAGTTTAATCTCAAGAACTCAAATAGTAGTACTCAGTAGAATGTGAAGCAGCATTTAGGCTTGTGTATTTCCAGCTATTGGAAGTGTTTGGTTGATGTTTGTCTAGGAGCTCCATAGCCAAATTTATGCCCAGTCATTTCATTCCCAGCTGAAGCACCTAAAAAATTCTCCAGGTGATAACTAAATGCCAGACTGGAGATCAGAGGCAGGAAGAAAGCTTGCTGCCTTACAGACTCCAACATAACTCTGCTACAATCTGCATTCAGAGAATCTTCAATCCATATTTAACCAGTAGGAACAGATAGAGCCACACAAGTAAAAGAGAACAATGCTCAATGAAGCTGAGATAACAAAAATGTGACAGAGAACTCACAAGCATTAAAGTGGAGCATCAAACTTGAAGAGCTTTTTCTGACCATCTGTTGGATTAGCTAACCACCAGCAAAAAATCAAGGCAGCTACTGCAACCGAGGACACAGATAGTGTAGCCAGAAAACCAAAATGTGAAACGTCATTTGCAATTATTGCTACACCAAACATCAGAAGTTCAGCTAGGCTGGCCATTGAAACTTCTGTTATCCCTATCAAATTTGCTTTGGCAGTAGGAATTCCCGTTTGAAGAATCTGTGTCCCCACAACATCATATGACATATGGCCCAATCGTGACACTACCTGTTGAAAACAAAGATAAAAAAAACACCATGCAGTAAAATCCTTGTTCCCTGCAAAAGGTTGAATCTAACTGAACAAAAAACAAACGTGGCAGAACCATATCATTACGCTATGTAATTTTACGAATTACCAAGGGAAAAGATACTATGATGCTTACAATCAAGGAGAGAAAAATTAGTAGTCTAGCTTGCTGAGTAATAGAACCGGCCCAATACACAGAAACAGCTAATGTGAGCAAAAATGCCTGAAAAATCAATCCAGCAGCTCCTGCCTGGTACAAGAGATACATTTTTAGATGGTGTTCCTAGAAAAGAGGTCTGAAAGCAATCAAAATACCATAGAAGAAATTGCAACCTTTAATATGCCGAGCTGTCTTACTAGACTTGCAGACATGAACGTCGCAGCAAAACCCATGATAGAGCATAATCCACTGAATCCACCAATAATTGATGGATTTATCCCTGCAAAAACCATGGATGCAACTGTGGTAAATGCATATAATCAAAATATCCGACCAAAAGCCCAGCTATATAAGCTTAGCAGTTGCTATATCTTAAGTTCTCTACAAAACCAAAAATAAGTCACAGTAGCAAGAACAAGGTCTTAATGACTGAGTAGAATATGAGTAACCAATGCTGATGCAAGGAAAAAAACATAAAAGGAGCCACAACAATCTGAATATATGGATCACTTAGCTTGACCTTCAAATTAGGATCCATTTAGTTAGTTGCACGGTAAAGCCTTCATCCATGGCGAGGCAGTTTGTTTCATGCCAAGCAAAAGTTTCTCAAAACTGCGATTTAAACAGCAAACAGATCTGACCCAACTCATCTATCATGTATCCTTACATTCAATTGAGCAAGCATGATTGACTCTCAGTAGATAATACCTTGCCATGACAATTCCTAGCTCTCAGGGGCTTCCAAATACAGCAAAATTGACTATCTTAAAGTGTAGGCCATAATTTACCATAGCATTTCAATCTTCGAAATAAGAGAAGCATCGTTTTACAGACTTAAAAAGGTTGTTTTCAGCAAGTTCATATGATTACGCATGAGTAGATGGCCATCATAGGCATTCATCTCAGTGATTGCAACTATCAAAACCAATAGTTAACTTCCAGTCGGCAAATCAGCTTTATCCCTTGGTAATAAACTGTAGATTATAAATGGCCTCCTTATCTCAGCATCCCTCCAAATATGTTTTCAACCACAAACAGGGTTAGCAATCATCCCAATGAATGTCTATAGCAGAACCAAAAGATTCCTGTGTTTGGTATCCAGACACAGTTTGCAGTCATAGATGGCTCAGCAATCATCCCAATGAATGCCTATAACACAACCATAAATTCCTGCATTTGGCATCCAAACATTTGGAAAAAAAATCCCAATGAATGTCTATAGGACAACCATAAATTCCTGCATTTGGTATCCAAACATTCAGAAAAAAAATCCAACTTTATCCCTAAGTAGGTGATTTAGTAATTCCATTTCAAGTTATTAATTTTGCTAACCTCAAGAGAAGGTGACTTACGACCGCAGCTACATTAATGTTCTCTAGTCAGACTATCTCATAGGTGCAACCATAGAGGGCTTTTAGCCTCCGGATGGTTTCGACACCAAGGATTAATGTTTCAACCATACCACTAGATTTGGACTGGCTCTAACCGGTCAAATGGCTGACCAATGTACAGATTGGCCCTGTATGGTCCAAAGGCAAGCTTACCAGGTAATAAGATGATTGATATTGAGCTGTATCGGTTGGTAACCTGCCGTACCTTTAAACCTTTTTTTCTTCTCTTTTCTGTTTGTGCTGCTGGTTCTTCTCCTTTTGCTGTTTGCCCAGGTCACTACCTCCTTTGCCACACAACATGGCACCAGTCCTCAACCTTCAGCTCCACCTCCTCAACCACCCTGTCCTCCATGCCTCTCTCTCTCTCTCTCTCTCCCTCTCAATCATTGTTAGATACTGATCGCTTCTATACATGGCAAACTTGAACCATGTGAAACTTCCCTATGTCTCCTAACTTATAAGTTTTTCTTGTTATGAACAATAAGAGTAGGATTTTTATACCCTAGGATTTTTATACCCAGATTAAATTTTAGTAGGTATTAAGAGTCTTTCAGACAGGAGATGAGTCAATAGATTCATTTGGTGGATTAAATATGAACACAGAAAAGCTGACTTCATCAAGAGACAAAAAGACAATAACCTATCTATAGATAAAAGTAACTTTATCAGTAGCCAGGAGGAGGCTCTTTGGTCATGATCATCACTGGGTGTGACTACTGGGAGTTTTTAGACATCTTCAACTAAATGAATGAGAACATAAACCCTTGTGTCATTGTCATTTGAAGAAAATAAGGCGAACTTTATTTAGAAAAGTTGTTGCATTCCTAATAGCTTCTCTAGACCCTCAGACAAGGACTTTATTTGCAACCTTGTCAGCAGACTTGTGGAGGCAGATGCATTCACCAAAAGGTGTGGCAGAACCCAAATAGTTGGGACACTATCTTTGTTGCTGTGACAACATTTTTGCTTCTGAATAAGAGATTTAACTCAACCATCATAGACATTCTTACTTCATGGGTCACATTCATTCAAGTGAGTGCAAATACATAGGCTGTTTACAGCTTCTGAATGAGCACAAATTTTCTGGTCACATTAATGACAACCACAACCATAACCTCCAAAAGCTAGCACTCGATGCAGCAAAACCGATTTATTTCTATGTGAATGTCTAGTTAGTGTAGCTTATAATGATTTACCATGCCTTTTTAGGAGGCTATTTGTTTGTGAATGTAGCAGTGGTTCCTACTTTCAGATCTTACATTGTTAATTAACAGAATGTCTTATCTAGACACAGATGTGTTATATAATGGTGATAGAATTCAGACAATAATAATTTAAATTTTAAAACTAAGACTAAATAACATATAAGAATCTAATCGTGTAAAAAAATGTTGGGTTCAAAAATCATGTGAAAGTTGGATCTCCACCAGAAGTGTAGGGTTCTTAATAAAGAGTTATAATTACCATGATGTACTAGGAATGCAGTCATTATGGCACCAGGTGCTAAAGCAATATTGAAGTAAAGAAGCACATATGCCAAACTTGCAGGAAGCACAGGCTGATGCTTATATTCCTTCCAGCCATGTCCAAACGCATCTAGTCCATTTTCAACTGCATATTTTCTAAGTGTTAGACATATCCATAAATATAACCTTTGAGATATGAAAAATAGTCGTCATAGAGTATGAGTAGTCCAACCGATCTTCCTGGCATCAAACAAAGAAGATGAACCAACAGGTTTAACGCCAGATCTTGAGCAATCAAGAACACCACTGGAAAGTGAATTGATAACATGACCCAGGATAACCTGCAAAATAAACACAAAATGAGTGAAAGAAGGAATTCTAATCAGCAATTAATATACTCGTAAAAGGATACGGAAAACTTACCAGAATAGGTTGCACAGATATTGTTAAACCACAAGCAAGTTTTAAGCATGTCACTGGATTGTACTTTGACAACAAAATGCCGAAGAGTGAAGCACCAGCTATCTGCAGACAGTCTATATATGAGAAAAAAAAATCATGAAAATTTTGTAGAATTGGAATCTTTGATTTTACATGACAGTAGTAATGTTTACCTCACAAAGAAGATCAACTCGACTAAGTACAGAATTTGCTTGGGCAAGTGCAACTGGCCTGTTTCTGCCTGCTAACTTCCAGAGAAGCAAAACAGGGGAAACAAAGAAGAAATTTAGCTTATATGATTTTCACAATTTTGTTAAATCAACAAGTGCAAATCATCCAAATTACCATAACAACCCAATCACGCTCCATCGTGACCCCCAATGCTAAGCCTGCAAGCCTTTCAATTGCCCCAGCCACAACGAGTACCATGAACCAAGGTTGGAGAATTACAGAAGATGTAGAGCTTTGCTTTATGGTATTATTTAGTGCATATATGATCATACTAGCTGATAACAACTGAGCAGCTGTCTGACATAATAAGATCATTGACAAAAAGTTTAAAAACAAGGAACCATAAAGTTCAAAGGAAAATTTCCCTGGCTCATAGTTATTACTAGCCAAAGGAGAAGATCTAAAGCATAACAAAGGTAACAAGGACACCTAAATACCTGAATAACATTTAGGCTATGATATGCAGGAACTCTAGGGAAACAATCCATAAGTTTACCAACCAATGGGCCCCCAACAAAAATGGCTAGCTGTGTATAATGAAATGTGTCAGTCAGACAGTCACAACCTTCTTTGAATATTCAAGGAAAAGTCAAAATTTTCAATACCTTTGTGAAGAAACCCACAACAGCCACAGGCAGAAGACTCGGATGAACAATTGCAACAGCAGCAGGCCAAACGAAGTTCCAGAGTTGTTCGACTAAATTTCCCACCAAGGAGATAGCATATAGAACTGCACTTTAGAGTCATAAACAACTAAATATTAATATCAATGCTGACAAAATTGCTGCGAACATAAAAATATTATGTTCTTTTGGTAAGTTGCATAAAGAATTATGTTGCTCAATTCAAAGACAAAATTCAATGACTGCAATGCAATTTCTTTTAATATTTGCCTAGACTGCCTGCATATACTAGAGATATCGGCTTACTACATGAATCACATATTCCTTTGTTCAATAACTTATACATATTCTCTGAAACTGAGTCACTACTATTTGGACTATTCTTATTGAGGGTTTTGTTTTGTAGATGGGTTAATGGCATTGTAGTTTTCAAGAACTTACTTCTGTAGCATGTGATATGTAATATTGAAGTCTCAGACATCTTGTGATGGCTTGATCTAGGTTTACAAGATTCACAAAGATATGTCGCTAAAACTCACCCTATCCAAACACCGAGTGTTTTGCAAAGGTTTGTTTCACAAGGCTTTTTGGCCTACCATTAAGAGTAAGAAATGTTCTGGCATTAAATGCTTATTCACTACTATTCATATGCCACATATGCCATGAGCATGCAAATGTTCATTCAAAGCTGATTTCTATTGCTAAAGATTGAAAATACATCCAAGACAAAAATTAATAGGCTATCAACTTGTGCAACAATTTCTACAAAATGATTGGCTACCATGATACACCTGTTCTTCCTAAGATGATCTCAATTAAACATAGAGCATTTATTTCTGAAATATGTACAAGTGATTATAGCTTTTTAGCACTTCAGGTCTTCATTCTCTGAAGCATGATAGTGTTTTTAAAATAATGTACTTGGAAAATCTTGACGTGGAGATAGCTTATGATAGGAAGCATCCAGGCTCTCTAATAAGATACTAAGTGATATGGGGTAATGTTCGAAGTTACTGGTTTTTGGAGTGTATTTCCTCCGCACAATGTCACACTCAAAAGATTTCTCCATCATTAAAATCCTGTATTTCTTTTATTTGTTTACTGGGAATCCAATCACTCTCTAGGTTGATAAATAGAGAGCTACAAGAGGGAAGGTCATATTAAAGGAGATGGGTTCCAACTGGCACATCTGCTAAGCTAAGAAAATTATCTCAGATGTTGGCCTTTATCTAATCAGATGATTGGAATATCTAATAAGTTCAACAACAAATTTACTGCATGAATATTATATTCTTATCAATTTTTGGTATCCTCTGCATCCTGTTTTTCTCCAAACAATCTCCTATGAACTTGGAAAGAAGCACCAAGGTTATCTCTTGCGGAGGGGAAAATTTTAATGGTCTAATTTTTCGAATCTGGGAATTGCAAAAAGGATTTTGAGGGACTCTGAATTTCACAGCTTAAACCGATGAGAAATGCTGTCTGCAAAACTTGTATTAGATCCTCAGTCTCTGGAACAGATATATATCAGCCAAGCATAAAAGCAAAGAATCTTGGCTGCCCTATCATTATGCTTGGGTGTGACAGTGATTCTCCTTGTATTTCAATTTGATACTGGAAAGGCAGATAAACCAGGACACCCTTGGTTACCAAACACTCCAGTGATAAGGAATATCTGGGAGTCAATTATATGTTTGATTTTGAATTCTCTATCACAAGAACCTAGCTCATTTCTCTGATTGGAAGTTGGTGAACTTACTGCACGAACAAGGTTGGCTCATCCAAAATATATGAGGATTTTCAACATACCTCTGACTATGCATGATATTTCGATAGATCAGGCTGCAGCATGCATAACATGCAAAAGTGTGCCAGAGACTTATATGTAGCAGTTTGTTTCCTTGGGTGCTTAGGTGGAGGGTTCCTTACCTTTGAAATGGATATAAATAAGCTAACCATACGAGATCATTTATTGGAAGGCTTGTTGGGAGAGGATCCTAACATGGAAATACCTTTCACCTACTTGGCTGAATGTGAATGGTTTAAGCCTAAGGTGTAAGTGAGGAGGAACCAGTTGGTCGCACTGTATCCCAAAGTTCAATTGCCATTTGCTGAGCACTATCAAAAGGTTCATGAGTATCCATGGTGTGCCTTTTAATGCCATGGATATAAATACTTGCTCATTGTTTTGCTTCATGTCAAACAAAAATGGCCTCTGCATGTCTTCTTCGAGGTATTTGAAGAGCGAAGAATGTTCTAATATGTGGAAGAAAGTTTATTTCCCTTGATCAGGCACACTCTCTTGCTGCTACGCATGCAGTCATGCTAAAGAATATTTTGATATTAAGTCAATACCTGAAGGAAAATGGAACAACTTGGAAAGAATCAGAACATCAGAATTCTTCTATTTTCTCCTGGCGACCTTCCCCTGAAGAGCGTTTTCCAATGGTCAATTTTGAAGGAGTTCAGAGGAGAGGATTGACATGACTAAATGTGTTTAGCTTCAAAACACATCTGTCCCTAAAAGAGTTTGCTCATGTTAAGATCACACACATTTTGAGAGAAGGAAACCATCTTGCCAATTGGTAACTAAAATGGGATATTGTGAACAGAGGGAAGGTTCAGTAATTCTATGATTTTCTAGTGGAACTGTTCAACCTGTGTTAGATTGATAGTAGCAGTTGTATCCTCAATATAGGTCTGTTTGTAATAAACACTATGATGTAATCAGACTTTGCCTTTTAGAATATAAAAGTTCACACATATTCCAGTTTCTACTTTAAATTAAATCCTGTAGGATCATTTAAAAACTACATGTCAACATAGCATAGATTTAAAATTTGACTCCAATATAAAAATACCAACAAATAGATCTTTACCAACAACGAGATTATTGATTGTAACAAAAAATAACATAATCTGTATATATTGTTCTCAGATAAAGATGGATATATAAGGTGCAAAACTGCAAATTCTATCCTATCATGAAAGAAATGACATTTAGCATTTGTTCTTTAATTGAAGATTGAACCTACCATATAAACTTGTAGGATGTGTTGGAGTAGCTGCTAGAGCATCTTGCTCTCTTTTGGATAAAACCTGAAAGTGAGGTTCCAAAAGTTTCAAGCTAATAAATACTGAAGATGAATAACCGACAAGCATAATCAAATATTGCCAGGGCTTTAAAATATGTAATTGATGTAAGCAGATGTACAGATAGACACACAGAGAATGAGAGAGAGAGAGAGAGAGAGAGACTATACATGTAGGTTTGTGAAGACACGGTTTGCATCTGTCTTTTTGCTCGACAAATCTAAAGGTATAGAATCAAGAATATCAGATTTCAGATGAACTGATATTGAGCAACTGGATGAAAGAGGCCTAGGATTTTCTGCAACTGTATTCTCAGCTGCTACATTGTCACCATCAACATCAGTGTTTGTAGCAAAGCATTTTGAAGTGAATACATCCAACCTGATACAATAATTCCAATGTTCATCAGATCCAGTGGTTAATAAATCAGATTATAATGATGCCCACAAAGTCTTCATATGATATGCTTTTAATCTTCCCATATGTGCATGGAACATGAATTCAGTAAAGTATATGTATGTATATATATATATATATATATATATATATATATATATGTATGTATCTATCTATCTATATATATATGTATATATATGCTCTGTTGGGTCCTGTTCATCTAAATACTAAGAAGGAGATTAGGTACACGACATCAACTATGCTCTGTTTATGTCATGAGATAATTCACCAACCACCAGAACATCCTCTATTTTCTGGAGAGATATATCACAATCAAATTTTGAATTATTTCCACTTCCAAAATTTCTGCAGTCATGTCCATAGCTATTTAATTAGTAATTTAGCTCATCTACAGTTACAAACACTCTAGTAATTGAACTAAAATCAATAAGAACCTTCCTTATTTCATGAGCATCAGGAATGTAAGAACTTTACACTCCACCATAAGACCCTACACTGCTAGTAGCATATCCATGTATCATATCCCTTATTCCCCAAGATTGTCCATTTACTGTGGTTCTAAAACCATCGTGCTCATTGATTTCATCATCTCCATATGTCACTAACCACAGAGGCGAAATGCTTACTGTTGGAGATTGTCAAAAGACATTGTTCTACAACAAACACAGATGTCGCAATAAAAATCCCATAAATCAATTAAACTATGATCAAGGCCTTCCAATAACTAGTAAAACCTCGATTGAATCCATAACGCACGACAGACAATCTGCTGTATGGATGTGATGTTTAATCCAACTTATACGATACTAACAGCACGTTCACCTTGTCACGAAGAAGCCTAATTGACCCAGAAACAGCGGGGCTGCCGCAAGCTAAAACTACGGATCTCCAAGGATTTCATCCAAGATAATCCACGCTTCCAGTGCGATCTAAGTTCAATTTTCGGCTACAACTATCTCCTACAGAAGCAACTTCACCAATTCCATAAATACGCTACCCATCGGAGACCCGAATGAATCACCTGCGAATGGGGCAGCCGGAGGGCCTCAGCCTCAACCGTCGAAGGTGGCCAACGCATCGGCGGGGGTTCGGCTTCGCAGAACCCCGGATGAGAGACGAGACTCCGCAGCCGGGAGGAGGCGGAGGCAGCGTCCACGGGGAGGAGACGATGAACGGCGCCATGAGTGCTTCAAGAACCTTCGTCTGACGCCGCGACCGACCTCTCCCCTCCTACTCATGCAGCCTCGCCTGTCGAGATCGAAGAGGATTCTAGGGTCTCAAAAGCAAAATCCACCGTTAGACTCTCTCTCTCTCTCGCGTCCTCGGCTCATCCGCATACGGTGGAAGGGGCGGAACCATGGGGAAACCGTGGAGGCGAGGAAGAAGGGCTCTGAAGTTCGCAGTACTTTCGGGGTCGTCGACCGTCTGATCAAGGATGGACGGCTGGCAGGGGGGCAAAGGTTTTGCGTGGCGAAGTTTGGGCGTCTTGATCAAGTTGGCCTATTTCGGGGGGCTATCCACGAGTCTGGGCGTATCGATCATACACCGTATAAAAATGGTTTGTGCCCCTTTTTTGAATTTTTGATCGATTTTTCTTTTATTTTTCGACGGGAAAAACCCCTCCGGCGTGCACCGTATAAGGTGGATTTTTGTAATTACCAAAAAGAAAGGGACATTTCATGCGAAACTTCGCAGCCTTGCCGTCACAATTCCCATTCTCAGTGTTTACCATAATTTTCTTGTGTTTTTTTATATATTCAAACAAGTACTTATCGCATATTCCTCGAGTTTAGAGTTTTCTTTTTTTAGATATTTTTATTTTTTTAAAAAATAATATAACCTTTACGTCATCACATTCTTCGTTTTTTTAGGTGGGCATCCATGATTATCGTCTTTGTCTGGTTTTCATCGTAAGATTCGACTATCTACTTTCTCATATATGATATCGTTATTTAAAATGAATAACGAAGAAATTTTTTAGATGATAAGACCATTGACAAGAAAGGAAAAAAGATAATTTGCTTTCTCGATAGAGTGAAAGCGACCATATAAAGTTAGCGAAAGTCTTGTGAAGAGACGAAGGTGGCTATAATAGGATGAAGGAGAAAAATGTGTTTAGACCTCCCTCTCATGACTCCCTTGTGGAGGCACGAATAGGAATACGTCGGGAGAGTTAAGAATCTAAAGGGTTTATGAGTAATTATTATGGTGGAACAAAATAGAGATGAATGAAGTGATAGTATTACCGTAGGGGTGATTCCCGAAAGATAAACACAACAGCCCATAGTGTGACAGGGCAGAGATATTCACGATGAGGCTGAAGATAATTACGACGATGTTGAAAACCCAAAGGTAAAATGATAAAGATGATCAAGAGGGATGTTATGCGAGAATAAAAAAATGATCTATCATAAATAATAAAAAAATATTTTTTTTAAAGAATTGGGCCCATAATATATAATAAGAGGGAGAAATCAATCTAGTATGATTCGTACATATTTGTATGTGACATTTAATCTGTCCGCGGATGAGCAAGCAAGTGGCATCTTTGGAAGATTATTTTTTAGGGCAATTGCTCTGAAAGATCAGCAATTTGATGCCTCACTATCTGCGCCTTTGTAGTTGTCGTCTTCCGTGGATGGCTGCTTCCGTGCAATCAATTTTCCTGACACATTATTGATGCTGATGTTGATACTGATGATCTACTGAAGCATCAACACAAATAAGAGAGGCTGATGCAATCAATGTACAATTTTTATCCTCGATCAGTTGATCTTCCATCAACACAAATAAGAGAGGCAGATAATTGGAGTTTCTTTTCTTCTCTGTTTGGAAGGAATGCAGTTGAATCACAGAAGAAGATGCAGCCATGTGAAGCTTCACAAAGCTTATTGATTCTCTATGAGTCGACCGAAAGGTGAGCCAGAAGCCGACATGCTTGCAAGCAAAACACAACCCCGAGGATGAGGTTAGTGGAGGACTAAATCCTAAGGAAGATAAGGTCGTGATGGAAGATTCGTGATGTGTTAAGATTGCTCTCTTTCGAGGGAAATGACAAGCATGAAAGTGAGAACTGGAGCAGCAACATGGACTGCAAGAGGCAGTCGAAACAACTGGAAGCGAGCGCCGACAAGGAAGGCAAAAGAAGGGCAGTCATGGGAAATGAACTGCACCGCAACAGGAACAATGTTTAGATTCCCAAGAATGAAACGTTGCGTCGGAAGTATCCAGGCCGGCAATTGAGCGGATAAGAAGAACACAACGACCCGACAAGCTCGCTTGCCTCCAACTCCAGTTGCTGAGACGGAAAAGATTAGGCCATGAACTGGCATACATAGCAAGGCAAGAAGAGTTAAGGGGGAAAAATGTGGCTTTTGGAACTCAGCAAAGGGAGCAGCCCCCCTGAACATGCTTTCCTAGTGGCAGCAAACTTACAAGCTAAGGAAAGAGTTCAGATTATAGAAAGGAAAGAGCAGGCGATTACCCTTCTAAGAAGAGAAAATGGAGAGGTGCAGAAGAAAAGGAGGCTTCTTGGAGCAGAAGACCCACTCTCCACCGCTTCGGAGATTCAAGAGCAGCCGATGAACCCTCGCCCTCGCTCACCCCTGCCACCGTTGCCTCTTCCACTTCCTTTTTTGAAGCGAAAAGGAGCCGCTTTTGGGGCATGGAATCCCCGGCAGAAGAGCTGCTCAAGAAGATCCAGGAGCTGGAGGCGGTGCATGCCCGGTTGAAGCATGAGATGTCGAAGATGATGCATGTGGACGGCGGCGGCGGGCGCGTGTCGGACCGCGGCGGCGGGCGCCTGTCGGACCGCGGCCGGTCCCGCTCCGTGTCCGTGTTGCCGGAGCGGACGACGGTACTGGTTCAGAGGCGGAACAGTGGAGGTCTCGAGGAGGCCAGTCCTGCCTGGGACAAGGGATCGAGCTCCTCGGGGCACTCGTCGAGTCTACAGCGAGAGATCCGGGGGACGAGCGGCTCCAGCGACGGTCCGGCTGGCATGCTTCTCTCGGAAAGGCAGTACCTGAACATTTTGCAGTCGATGGGGCAGTCGGTTCATATATTCGATCTCGAGGGCAGGATAATTTATTGGTGAGCTGTGCATACTTGCTTTCGTCTATGAGCTCTTTGATCTCCTCTTCCTGCTCTTTATCCATCCTAGATCAATGAAGTTTCATATGATTCCTTATTGCGGGTACTTAAAAAGTATCGTTTAGCCTATGATGTTCTATTAAATTGCATGAGAATTGCTAGTATAATTGGTAGCAAGGAGAGGTAGTGTTCAAGATCCACCAGTGTATGGGACTGTTCAAGCAACTGGAAAAAGCACTATGCTTAGTTTTCACCTGATATGCTGGGATTATTTGATCAATATCAGTAGCTTTACTAGAATTGAATATGTTGTCTTCTGCCATGATTTTGGTGGAACAATCAGCATATACCTTGTGTTTCTACTTATGACGTACAACTTCGGTTACTGAACATTTCATTCATGTGTGATTTCCACATTGTCTAGTTCTGTTGGAGAAATAGCTGATGAGGAAAATAATATGCATGGAGTCTTAGAGAAGAAAGGAATGGAAACTGCTGCTTGCAGCTTTAAATCCTTTGCCAATCATTGTCAAGCGTGATAGTTGCTTGCAGACTAAGGTTGTCAATACCTGGATTGGACACTTGTTAGAATCTGCAACCTCACATGCTCCTCTTCTTTCTACCCTGACCTGTTGTATCTTCTGCTTGTCCTCTGGTGTGCTGAATTTATAGGCTGGAAAGGGAAAATTTCTGGAGTATAGCTGCAAAGCACTCTGATATTCTATGTCCCACTAAAAAATAGCAAATATTTATGAGACATGCAGCTGATAATAGACCTGATTAGATCACATCAAGGCCCATCTATCTTAGATCGAGTTGAGAATAAAATCTGGTATTGGCATCAATCAGGGTTTAAAATCAGGGACATGTAAGGGTTTTCTTGAGGTTTGCAAGTGTCACGATATGGTCCAATAGGATAAGTGCCTCATTAACCTTGCTGAGTCTGAACCATTGATTGAAAATGATTAAGACCAAATTAATAATAGTACATCTATCAAGTCCTCATAGGTTAATTTATATCTTTCCCCATTGGAAGTGAGATTAAGCTTGGGGGTGTTATAACATGGGTATACATGAATTTTGTGTTTGTGGAGAGTTACTTGCAGACAATGGCATTTTTGTGATATTAAAATTTTCAAACATGGATCTGATGTTGTCATTCTAATTGAAACTTTTCTTTGTCATTTTGTATTCCATGGTGCAACAATTGTTTTGCCCATTCTATATCATGAACGATGCTGCATATTCTTCTTGTGGCATTTAAAATGTTTCCAGTATTTTGCAACTTATGCTGTGCTGTTGCTAATAATATTTTGCTGTTAGGTTTGTGTTTTGATCAACACACAAGTGTGTGATCCTTTTGTCTTTGAAATGTTAAGCTAGGAATCCATAAAGGGTCTTCTTCAAAGATTATCTTATTTATTTTTGTAGGAATCGATCAGCAGAAAGTCTTTATGGTTATTCTTCGTCTGAAGCTCTTGGTCGGGATGCAATTGAGCTGCTTGTTGATGTGTGTGATTTCAACATTGCTAGTAACATGGTTCACCGTACAACCATGGGGGAGAGCTGGACAGGGAAGTTTCCTGTGAAGAACAAGTCTGGAGAACGTTTTCTAGCTATTGCCACCAACACTCCCTTTTATGATGATGATGATAGTTTGGTTGGCATAATTTGTGTTTCTAGTGATTCAAGGTCCTTTCAGGACGTGGGATCCCCTCCAATCTCTATCAAGCCACGAGCGTCTGTCTGCAGCAATGCAAGTCGACCAAGAATAAATTTAATAAATAAGCTTGGTTCGGATCAGCAACCCTTCCAAGTTTCTATTGCATCCAAAATCACAAACCTGGTGAGTGTAAAACGTTGCAATTTCATGAAGCAAAATAGTTCAATAGGCATCATATGTCATAGGATCACTTGGGATCATTCTTCATTATAGAATCTGGCATATATTGTTAATTTTTTTCTAGTTTATTCTTTTTTTATTTTTAAAATCAATGAAACAGGCTTCTAAAGTTACTTGCAAAGTTCGTTCTCGAATAAGGGCAGGCGAAACCAATTTGGAACGTGAAATTGGAACCAGATACGGTCAGTCTTCTGATCATGATGCACTTTCCTCAGACCATAAGGAGGATGGTACTTCAAGTGGAGTTAGCACACCTAGAACAGAGGTCTCTGCTGTAGTGGAGGAGAAATCTCCTGGCAAAATAACCAAAGCAAATAATGATGAAGATGAAGGAAAAACAGGCATTCACAAGATCATCAGTAAGACAGAAGCATTATTTGCCAAAAAGGGGATATCATGGCCTTGGAAAGGGCATGAGCAAGACGGTAATGATGCAAAGAATCTCTTTGTCTGGCCATGGTTGCATGATAATCAAGAAAATGATTACAATCTTCAAAAGCCATCTGAATCTGGTACAAGAACAGAAAATCAATTGACTGAAATCAATCTGACAGGCAATAAAGAGGCTTCTGGATCTTGTTCCTCTCATAATGCGAGCTTAAGTAGTGTTAGCAGCTGTGGGAGCACTGGCAGCAGTACTGTTCAGAAAGTGGATATGGATACTGACTGCTTAGATTATGAGATCTTATGGGAAGACCTTAAAATTGGAGAACATATTGGACAAGGTAATCATCGTCTTCTTGCAATAACATGATTATATTTGCTTCGGAAGTTGTTCTAAACTCTAATCCAAACATGCTGATAAGAACAATTGAATCATCGAATTCGAATTCCAGCTTCTTTTATATCTTCATTCTTTTGGTTGCTCTTTTGGTTGCTGGCTATCGTCTAGACAATTGCCAGCAGTCAGACTAAATTCATTGCTTATTGTCCCATGTATCTTGAACAATTATATGCTGCTCTTAATGTTTCGAAGGAATTTTTCACCAGTTCTTTTGCTAGCATCTCCTGAGACAAAAAAATGGTTGCCTTTCTCGCGGACATCAGTACATATGACATCTCACTTTTATTCTCATCATCCAGTAGCCATTAACTTGCAGCCTCGTTTATTAATCAATTCCTTGAGGTATACCCCACAGTTGCAGGAATTTTGTAGAAAAAAATTACTAGCATTTATAAAACACAATGTCTTGTCTTAAATCTATGTTATCAGGTGCTCCATTAGTTTGTAAGGCTTGTGCATCACGTTATAATTGTCCTATGATTATGCAGAGAATTGGTGAGATGTTTCTTATAGCTATCGCTGATATTCCAAATTCAAATCCTGATTGTTTGCTATTTGAACATTATGTGCTTGGGCTGTTAAATTTGTGCATTGCATAGGATAAGACATATAGTGAGAGACATCACCTGACATATTATGCTAGTGTTGAATGTTCATAGTACCAAGACAGTTTGTTGTGCTTCTATAAGAGAGTTGGACAATTAATAATGTGCTGCTTGTTCTATACATAAATCAAGCTGCCCTTGGCTAGTAAAGGAGGCCTCAGTTTCCTGGTATTTCATATAGATTTAGAACTTATTTAAAAATGAATTTCTTAATCTGGCCATTCAAATTATTTTTATGTTAATAGATCTAGTTTACACTTTAAGAACATCTGTTGCTCGATACAAATTTATTACATAATAAAGGGTTCTTGTACAGTTTATAAACTGTTTGGAACCATGGTTGCATAATTTAGGCTTGGGAAAAGTCCTATCTTGTGATATAAAAAAATTCTGTCCTGTGTTTTGTTCCATTTCTATTATTGGTTTTTCCATGAGATGAATATCGTGTTGTCCGCCCAAAAAATTAAATTTGCAGAAACTAGCAATGAATTTTAGGAATTTGAGCTAGATAGAACACTTGAACCTTGAATGTCTTCATCTTTGTTCAATAATTATTTTGTGGAGTGTAACTATATTGCTCCAAAAAATGGAGAGGGATCTAAGGGGCTTATATTCATATTTCATAGAAACATAGATCTAAGGGGTATATAATCATAGACACATAGATCTAAGGGACTTATATTTATAGAAACATACTTCCTACTGTTCCAAGAGGGTTTTATGGGGGCTTATATTCATAGAAGCATACTTCCTACAGTTCCTTGTTGATCTCCTTTCTTTCTCCAACCATGTGACTATTAGACCAGTACAGTCTCTTCATCTTCCAATTGCAATTCTTATCTGATTGTTACTGATGAATGCCAGAGTTTGACTTTTTTTGCTAGTGACAGAGTTCAACTTGTTAGAAATTTGATTCTGACACTCTTCGACTCACTGTGTTTGAAACTTGAATCTCATATTACCCCCCTTTAAAGGACTCCTATTTTTTTGTAATGAGTCGAGACTTGCAATGATGAAGTTTGGTTGTTCATCACAAACAAAAGTAGTGATTGTCTGGTCTTACCTCTTTAGGATGTGCCTAATGGAAAAGATAAAAACAAAATTCTGCAACATTCCTCGGTTGAATGTCCTCATGCAATGATCATCTCTTTGGTGGATGCTTGCTACCAAGTAATTATTTTAACACCTACATCTGTTAAAATTAATCATCTATTTATTGCCTAACTTGTGTTGTTGCTGAATGATCGAACCAATAGAACTGACTTAGTTAAGAGAATAATGCTGTCATCATTGTTGTCCATTACTACTTCTCACTGTAAATATCCTCTGTTTCTGCAGGTTCTTGTGGAACTGTATATCATGCTCAGTGGTATGGCTCGGTAAGCTTCTCCTGTTCTTTCATATAAGTCAACTCCAAAATAAGGTTTCTAGTATTGCTTTTTTTTTTTTCAATTAGTTTCCTCTAAATAAACTGTTCGCGAGTTCTCTAGATGCAGCTGAACTTTGTCTGTACTTTGTTTTTCAACCACGTAGATGTTTTGTGCATACTGCTGGTGATTTGATGCTCAGGAATGATGGGTTAGACATATAACAAATGTTTCAAGTTAGAGATGAGTATTATAAGTGATATACATATTATTCCATGTCTATGGGTCTTTATGAACTCTTTCATGGTAAAAGACATGATTCCTATCTGACTGGCTGAGTGTTAATTTTGCTTCAATAACTTGATGACTTTCTTTCAAGGGGAGTACCATGTTTTGGAATGCTTAGAGCTTTTTATTTTCAGGTTAGGAACTCATGTTTTCTTAGAACCAAGTTCTTCTGATATTCAATGTATTATGGGATATGCTTTTTCCAAAGAAAACAAACTAGAATATTTGTATCATTTCATCTCAATCAACCATGCATTTTTCTCTTTGATAAGTAATGATTTTAACTTGTTGATCTCTATAAGCTTCTGAAAAGATACTTTCTAGACATCTGATATTTTCCTAATGCTGGTGGTTATAGGGTTTTTTTTTTGGTGGTCAATATATATTTCAACATTAGTTAAGTGGATAACATTTATACACATTATCCAAGTGTTCATGATGTATCCACACCAATTTAGTAATAGAAATCAAGTGGCCAGCAAGTTGCACAAAGATGAAAGATTTGCTAATTCCCAGCTTAGCTGCCTCTGGCATGTTTTATATAATTTGTCCTCTCCCAAGAAGGTACCATTGAAAAGTATGGTCAAAGTCGAGCATAATTTCATCTTTTTTATTTTTGAGTATGAACCTTTCAACTTCTTAAGTAGGTCTTTTGTTAAATGATGACTTGGACATATCGTTAATAGTTATGATGTTCAAACTGCTATGTGCCTCTTGTTATGGATTAAAATTTTGTATCGTGCTTCTTGCAGGATGTGGCAGTTAAATTATTCTCAATGCAGGAACTTTCTGATGAAGTGATGCTTTCCTTTAGACAAGAGGTAGAATGTTGAAACTTTGTTTTTTTTTTCTTTTTTTCTTTTGGTGTATGTTGTAAGATGAAAACTTGGAAAGATAAGAAAACTTTATAAGTTTTTAGTCATCGGTTGCTCTAACTTAATAGCATGCAATCTAAAATGTCTCAATGTTGAAATGAATTAAGGAATCCTTTTCCAGATTGTATTTTAGATCTCCAAATATCTGCTGCTTTTAGTATTCATATATGCTTGTCATGGTGTTATTAACTTTATGGTCCATTGTGGTTCTCTGAATTTAGTGATGAATGTCTCCCTTTCCCATTGCAATCCAAAGTCCAAACGATGCTTTGTTTTTTAAGGTGTCACTTATGAAGAAGCTACGGCATCCAAATATACTGCTTTTTATGGGTGCGGTTACTTCTCCACATCGTCTTTGTATTGTGACAGAGTTTCTTCCACGGTTAGTACTCAACATTTTCTTTCTAAAGTCGAACAAAAACAATGTAAACATTATTTTTTTGTGAATATTAGCTTCTTTTACCCAAAAATGTGCATATATTCCAGCTTTTTCATAACAGGAATTCAATTCTAATATTCATAGAATGATCTTACATATATAGGAAATTAGGCAACATGATGTCTGTCCTTTATAATCAGGAAACCAAATGATCTTGCCTCAAATTTCTAGTAGCAAGTTATTCAACGGAGAGCTCCCAATCCACAGAAAGTCAGCGTACACCAAGTGGTGTCATTGTAGTATTCTTGTGAGATTGTTGTATGGCACCAGGGGGTTTTGTTGAGTCATGCCAGTGTCAACTATTCTGTAGTATGACCAGGCCAGCTTTGGCCAGCACATGGGGTTTCTCGGTCATATCATGCCAAGAACATAACAAAACCCCTGTAAAGTTGATAATTAGAATTTTATTTGTAGGTAATCATGATTGTAGTTGGTGTTTATAACTTTGTATATATGTTTTCTTTGTCATTTCTTGACTTTTGCAATAATTGTATGGCCATGAACATGGCAGCGATATCATAATTGCCTCAAGCTAAAAAAAAAAAAGCTTTCTTCAGCGTCAGGTTGTAGTGAAACACAACCCTATATCCTATGCTGTAAATGATATTCGTAAAGGCACATATAATAGTTTTAAGTTGATGATAGTGTCACTAATTTAGTTTGTTACTACATATTAGGAAATTCAACAATTGGATGCAACTATTAGCCCTAGTTATCTCGTCCCATTTTTATCTACACAGGATTGTGATTTACAGTTCTGAATCTTTTCAGGTGTTCATTACTTTAGACAGAGACATAATATTGGAAAAAACATATTAATCAGCATCCAATCTTACATTTTTCTTCCATTTTAAATGTAGTGGGAGTTTGTTCCGTTTACTGCAAAGAAATACAACAAAGTTGGACTGGAGACGGCGCGTTCTCATGGCTCTAGATATTGTAAGCGTAGTTCCTTATTTGAAGATGTACATGTTTCGATTTTGTATCCCTGTTTAAGTCTAATTGTATTCACATTAAACAATGCAAGATATCACAGGCACCGCAATTTACTATATGCATGCATATGGACATTAAAAAGGGTGGTATAGGTGTCATTTCAGAGCCAGTAAATGATGCAGCATCCAGATCCATACGGTTAACTATTTTAATTTGTTTCTGAATTCAATAAAAAAAAAAGAAAATTCCCCAACCAGTCCTGACTTTGGATTTCCCAGATAGTATGGGAGTTGGGAAATTAGGGCAAACATTTTGGTAGGTGGTGGGACTTTCAGATTAAAGGTGGGTAGTGAGGACAGGATGGAGCAGAAGGAACAAGCTAGAGGGAGAAAATAGGTGGCAGAGTTGAGGAGCTGAAAGATTGGAAAAGTAAGAACAAGCTTTGGTGAACGGCTATGTTTTAAGCACCAGGAGAAACCATATGTTTCTTGAAATTATAATTGTTGGGAAGAAACCTGTTAATACGGAATAATTCTTTTCCCTCTTTGTGTATCAAAATAGATTCCTCATCAAAATACCAACTTGATATCAAAATGCTAATATCAATCAGCGCAGCATAAACAATAGAGCAATAAATCAATCACACAGAGAGACCAAATCTTTTTAACGTGGAAAATCCAATGTGGGAAAAACCACGGGACCGTAGTCCACCTCAAACTTCCACTATCAATAATAATGATAATAGGTTTACAGTAGATCTTCTCTAGAATAACTAGAGGATCAGAATAACATCAAGAACATAGATCTTGGCTCAACAATAGCATATCTTCATCATGTAGGATGGATCTCCTCAAGAGAGAATTCTAGGTCTCACAGAGTGGATATCGCAGGAAAGTACCTTAGAGAGGGTAAACTGCAGATCAACACCGTTAGGATTGTAGAGTTTGCTGCAAGGATTCTCCACATAAATTTGGGCCGAAACTGACAACGTTTGGCCACCGATCGTCAAGCAGAAAACTCAGAAACCTTACTTTCTCTCTCTATTTCTCTCTCCTCTTTTCTCTGCACGCTGCACGCTCTTACTCTAATCTCACCCTAATTTCGTTCTCTCGAATCTCCAATTAGTTGATTTGGGCTTATGGCCCAAATTGTCCAAGCCCACATATGGACTGGACCCAACAATAATGTCATTATGGGAGGTGTTTGTACTATGGGGCTGGAGAAGGTGTTTGTCTTCCAAGTTCTAACAAAGGCCATAGAGAAGATAGGAGTTGGTGGGACTTGGGTCATGCCTCCAAGTGAATATCAAAGGGAAGTATGTTGATGAAAGATGATCTCAGCATTTACTTGTTAATTCATGTTGTGACTTTTCGTGCATATAACCTTAAAAATGAATGTAATGCATGCATATTCCTCAGAAATTTTAGTAGCAGTTGCATAGAAAAATTCTTGCATCCAAGTCCAGATGTATATTCTGTTTGATTTCCGATAAAGTTATTTGTCTGTTAGCAAGATATTTAAATCTGCTATTTTTTTTTGTAGAAATTGTTCATTTCCACATGTTGCAGATGAGTTTGGCTCATCATTAAAAGTCTTACTTTCTGACAGGCAAGGGGGATGAATTATCTTCATCATTGCAATCCTCCTATCATCCACCGTGATTTAAAGTCATCAAATTTGTTGGTCGATAAGAATTGGACCGTTAAGGTTGGCTTTTTGCCTTGCATGTATCATTGGTCTCTCTCACCTAGACAGAAACACCTTATCCTCTATTAACTTGTTTATGGAAAACAGGTTGGTGATTTTGGTCTTTCGCGTTTGAAGTATGAGACTTTCTTGACCACCAAAACTGGGAGAGGAACGGTATTGATATTGCTGACAAAGCTTATAATGCATTCCTGCTGATGATGGTTTCTGTGCATTTAATTATTCGTGATGCTGAATTATGTTCCTGGTTTTTAGCCTCAATGGATGGCTCCAGAAGTCCTTCGAAATGAACCTTCAGATGAGAAGTAAGTTCAGATGTTAATTTGGCTTAGCGTATATTTTATTTTGGTAATCAACATGCTGCTTCAGTGATCTTCTATTTTTGGTCTGTGAAAAAAATAGGTCGGATGTGTACAGCTATGGAGTGATCTTGTGGGAACTTGTCACTGAGGAAGTTCCCTGGTGTAATCTCAACTCAATGCAGGTTATTATTACATTTTAGTAGTTTCCATTTGTTGACAGTCTACATTATTATAGAAGTTCTTCATACCTTTGATCGTGATGTATGATCATGGCATATAACTTTTCTATTGCTTTTTAATGATGTTCAATGCATGAAAGCTAAACTAACATAACTAGTGTGATTACCGGATGAACCACATCTTCATTTTTTGCTATCAAAATGAATTTGAAGTTATTTTAGTCCATCGTATGTTTATCATAAATTATTATTCTAACTCAGGAAAGCCCGTGTTCTGTTGTCATCCAAACACATGTTCTTGGTTGATAGTGGAAACCAGGGTCTGCCATACCGAGCCGTACCGCCCGGTACGGGTGGTACGTACCGGTCCGACAGGTTTTCGGTACGCGGACCGACAGTACTCGGTACACCTGGGTATACCGCTCGGTATACCGTACCGTACCGGTACCGAGCCCAGGTCGAAATACCGGTACGGTACGGTATTGCGAACCTTGGTGGAAACATAGAACATATTCATTTTGGTATGATGCTTTTGTGTAGTATCATACTATTTCTCCAGTTGTTAATAGTCTCAGTCATTCATATCATGCCATCAAACACTGATACCGGGAGATGCTTGTTTGGTTGATTGTTTCACCATTTCTAACAAGTTTGGCTCAAATTTTGAATTGAATTTCTATCACACTTTAGTTTTTCTCAATCCAGGTTATCGCAGCTGTTGGATTCTTGAATCAGAGGTTGGATCTTCCGAAAGATTTGGATCCACAATGGGCATTCATAATCGAGAGTTGTTGGCGCAGGTTGTTTTTTTGCCCTTAAATATCTTGAATACAATTTCTCCTGCATTTTTCTTAATTAGCCTCCACTAACCGTCTCTTTTTTCTTTTTTTTCTCTCCCTTACAGCGAACCAAAACATCGACCGAGTTTCCATGAACTCATTGAAAGCTTTAAAGATTTGCAGAGGCAGTACATCACCCAGTCTCAGATTCAGCGGCCTGCACCACCCAGCGATACCATGCAAAGTGCTGCAAAAGTGAGATCAAAGGACAGGAACAAGCCTGAATGAACTGCTAGGCGACATTTTCGAACCAGCTGCGAACAACGCATCAAGCTTTATCTCTCTAGAAGAACACTTTGTTCTGTCACGGGATTAGCCATTGGCCGCAGACTCCAAGTAGAGTGTAGCTAGCTGCATGGTATTCTGATCAGTCACCGTATGATTTTGTGATCTCGGAAATTTTCACTTCATGCCTACGATCCGAGGTTCTTTTGTTTGATAGATAACAGGATTAAGGTTTCACCTATCGATAGGACGAGGAAAATCCAAGGTTTTGTGAGGCTATATAGAAACCTGTAATAATTTGCTGAGTTGTGTTTTGAGCTTGAAAGTTTGTAGGGATTGGTTTCCTTGTTTGTGACTGTTTCTATAACTCTACAAAGAACACTTTTTGTATCTGCCTTCATCTTTTCGCACCGACACAAAGAAAATAAGAGAAAAAAGAGATCAGTGATGGTATTTTGCATTTGCAGATCTTAGATGACAACACTGATCAAAAGAACTTTGACCTGTCTTGCAGCTGCTAACATCATTTGAAATCAGATCCGAGGCTGGAAAATTACATGCTAAATAATTTTTATTCTTTCCACATGGATAGAAAAATAAAAGAAAAATCTAAATGATCAAATGCCTTCCAAATAATGAGTTTATCATTTTTAACAAGTTAATAAACTGATAATCGAAGGAATATTTTGGGAAAAAAGCAAAAAAATTAAATGGATGGCTCCGATTAGAAACAAATCTGAAAGGTTCTAAATTTGACAAAATCGGAACCGTCGGTTCTGGAACGTGATTCGGTTCTAACAAGATAGGTTCTGTAACCGGATCCGGTTCGAGGAAAGTGGCTGGGCCGCGGGCATTGCGTCGTAGCAGTCCAACCCGGATCCGATTTGAGCAGTGGGTAGGCCGCAGTCCGATTCCGGCCCTAACGGGTATTTAACCGAACCGTCTCCCAAGAAGCCGACCGTGACATCGCCATCCCGCACCAAGCGAGGTATTCTCCCTCTTCTCTCTAGCTCTCTCTTTCCCTCTCCCTCCTCCCTCCTCCCTCCTCCCTCCATTCCCCCTCTCCATTCTCGTCTCCGCTGCTCTGCGACCTGTGCGAAGCTCCTGGAAACGCTTTCTCGTTTCGGTATCTTTCAATTGCCACCTGCTGCAAGAAGTCACCCGAAACCCCTCCTCTAACCCGACCTCTAACAGCCGTCTCCCGAAACCCTTACTCCTCTCGCGCCTCTTGCAGCCGTTCCCCGAAGCATTCCTCTTCCCCGACCTATTGCAGCCGTTTCCTGAAACCCTTCCTCGTCCCTGGCCTCGTGCTATTTATAATTATGATAAATTTAGTGATTGTTATTCTGAAGTGAGTTTTAGGTTTTGTGTGGGATGCACAATTTCGGTGCTGAAATCATGCTTTAGTTATTGATGATTGGTTTTAAATCGTGACGACGATCTATTGATACCAAAACCAAGTTTCTTTCACGTCGTGTAATTGCCGCATGATTGTTCTAAACATCTTCCTCGTGCAGAATTAGTGATTATATATATGGTTACTGTGTATGATACATGCGAAACCAAATATTTTTTTTCTGCTTTTGAATTGTGGTCAAATTATCAACATCTTGTCTTAGTCTTGATCAGCTGATTTTTGTTTAGATGATGCCTTACGTATTGCATCATTTGAAACATAGATTCCTTTTTCTGACTATATCAATTATTTTTTGTGCTGAACTTTTTCATAAATGTCGTGTTATATTGGATTCTCATTATATATATCTTTTCAATTCTCGTTCTTAAACCATGGTGGTTGCTGTATGATGTACATGCATCTTGTTGGATCATAAATGTTTTTCAATCGCTCAAGTTACTGGTTTTTTTCATGATATGTGTCCAATGTTTTTTATGGAATTTGGATTATTTTCAACCATTAGCAAGTTCTGATTGTGTCAAATTTGCTGATGGATTGTTGTGATCCAGGAACAAGGTTATGCATGTCTGATAAATTGATCTGGATTGTCCAGGAACAGGACACAATTTAATATGTGATGGTTGTTGAACAAAATGCATATATTGTGTAACCATAAATTGTGAACAGGTTTTATTTGTATCAAATGTGTTGATATGGATTGTCATGAACTCTTTGTGGAGTGCCTGAACTTAATTTCTGTGTTCTCTGAAGTATGGGAAGGTTCTATCATGAAATGAATGGTGTGTTGTCTCATGCCACAAATTGACATCGAGCCAAATTGATCAGTTGTGAACATGGACTCTGAACTTGTTAACTTTTGACTTTTTGTTCTGACTTGGAAAGTGGTGTTCGTTATCATGATACATATGTTTTTTGTTTTAGTATGTTTCAAATATCAATATCTGCAACCATCTGTGCTTGCTAATTGCCTTTGAATGTACATAATTGTCATTATATACATATATTTTTAGGTACAGACATAAGAACCTATAAGTTGGTTAATATGATGCTCCTGGATAAGAAATGAATGTGTGCACTCTCTTTTACATTGCTGAGTGGGGTTAGCATCTCCACTTGAATGTAGGACATCATGTCTTACCTACTATGATACCACCCTCCTTGTCTTAACTGATGGTACCCGTCGGTACGCTCAAAATCATAAAAGAAACCTCTAAAAAAACCTAAAAATAGAAAAAAAAAAGTTAGATTAAGATTTTTAAGTTAAAAATAAATATAAATTTAGTGTAATTTTAACAAAATAATATAAATTAGGAAAGAATAGTGTCACATATCTTTTTCAAGCTTTGAGTAGTTTTGTGGTATTTTTTATACAACTTGAACTTCAATATTCAAATGAATTTAAGTAATCAATCGATAGATATACTTGGTTCTACCATCAAAAAGAACGACGGGACTCCACGGGTGGTGGATCGGGATCCTCGATCCTATGTATCTGTATATCAATATGATATGTTTGTCGGACTCAATTTTGAAATTGATCTCACGATATGGTGTACTGATACACCGTATGCCATTGGTGCATCAATGTGGTGATGGTCGTAGTCTGATCGTCGTGAACCACATGTGTCCGAGGCGGCTCTTGAGGCAAGGATAAATGTGGCATGTGTTAGTGTGGAGCATAGAGAATGCCAGAATTTCTACTTTCGCTATTGATTTGTTACTTCGTATCGTAAAATCGATTATCGTACTGTTGTTCGAAGAAGTATGGCCAACTGTCACCGTACTGTTGTTGGCCGTAAGATTCTCCATAATATGACGGTTGTGAATACGATTATTCAATCCACAAATTAGAGTGTTCTTCCTCTAGAAAGAGAACACATACCTCTTGATTAGAGTGTTCTTCCTCTTAATCCTCATAAATTAGCTTCCTAAATTTGATCCAATCCACAAATTGTAGCTTTGTTGAATTTAAGAGAATGAAAATGTGAAAATAAGAGAGATGTGAGTGAAAAAGAGTTTAAGAGAGTGAAATAAGTTGAAATTGGAGAGAGAAAAGGATTTAAAAACCCATTTCTAAGTCTCAAACGATTAAATTAACCATTTAAAATAGGGCAATTTCAGCCCTTGACTGGTAACGATCAAATTTTGATTGTTACCACCCGGTATAGGTCAGTAATGATCAAAATCCAAGCATATTGATCGGTACATGTCGGTAACGTTCGGATTTCGATCGTTACCGCCTAGTACAGACCCCGTATTGCCTGATACGGGGTCAAGTGACCGATACTGCTCGGTAGATGGCGGTCCACGTATCGGTACCCTATCGGACTAGTATGTATCACCTGTACCGAGCGGTATGTATCAGTACAACAAACCTTGCTTTTGACCAAGATTCACAATACATTTAGTACTGTTTGGTGCATATGATATTCATCAGTCTGATAGGTTAACCAAGGCAAACTGGTCATTATGTCCATACTAGACTTATATCGGGCGATACTATCTGGTACGCTTGTTATAGAGTCAGTTCCACCTGGTATGGGGTGTATAGGCTCTGTACTGGATGCTTATTTTTTTCAACTTTAAAAACTTTTTTTTTTTGAAACTCAGAACTGGTACAGTACACTGGTATGGACAGATACAGTACTGGTTCGAGACGTGATTGGTACATTACCGACACACGAAAATATGACCTTGATTTTGACAGAATTGCTCTGCTGTTAAATTGTTAGTTGTTGTTGTGAATGTTCAACAACTTTTCTACCTTTTGTTTGCCTAATTTTTTTGTAGATTTATTTTTATATGTGATTTTACAGAAAATCATTTGATGATTCTTCAAATCACATTGCCTTTGCCATAAATATGATTTTTATTAATGCTTGTTTTGCTAATTAAGTGACCTACAAAAACGCTGCAACTTTCAAGCCTTTGGCTACAGTTACCGTACCAACTTGTTTCCTTTAGCTGCTTAATTTGAGTTCTTAATTATATCACTGACCTTTGCTTGCTTTCTACTGATACAATTTCAGACAAGGGTTGCTATTTTTCCCTGGGAGTCATAAGGGACACATCTACGGCAAAGATAAAGTTGAAGAAGTTGTAGACAGAACACCTGCTTTGAAGGTATATTGTTATGATGAGTATTCTTTCTTGAAGGCATAGTCAACTATTAATGAGTCTTATACTGGTGGAACTGTAGAAAATTAAACCACCATGGATGGGCCCCTAGAAAATATCAAAACAGTGGATGCATCTGTTGGGAGCACCAAGGCCATAAATATATCACTAGAAGGAAGTGTGGCTGTGGCTGCTGATGTGTCTGGAGAAGGTACCAATGAAATGGGTGGATCAATGAGAAAAGCCACTATGACTAGTGGACCAGTAGAAAATGACAATGGCCTTGTTGGAGCAGTGGAAATTTCCAGTAACATCGATAGTTCAGTGGGAAATGTTGATGACAGAGATGCATCAGGAAGTATAACTTGTTTGGATGGATCTTTAAATACTGGCAATGTGGATGAATTAGTGACTGTTGCTCCTGAGGCAACTGAAAATTTACAGTTAGAACCTAAGGTTGGTATGGTTTTTCATTCGGAAGAGGAAGCATATGAATTCTATAATTCATATGCCAAGAAAAAGGGATTCAGTGTGCGCAAGGGGCATCTTTCCCGAAGAAGAGATAATAGCATACGAGATAGGCACTATGTCTGTAGCAATGAAGGTACTCGTCAAGAGCATCGCACTCATGTGACTAAGAAACCACGTCCACTGGAGAGAACAAAATGTTTGGCTCGTATTGAGTTCAAAGTGAATCGTAGCAATGTATGGGTAGTAAATAAGCTCATTGAAGAGCACAATCATCTGCTTGCAAGCCCAAATAAGATTCACATGTTGCGGTCACATAGAAAGAAATTGCCTGTTGAACGTGCAATCTTTACTGAAGCAGATTACTATTATGGGGTAAAACCTTCTCTGATGTATGATTCTCAGTCAGAGGAGGTACAGAGTATGGGAGATGGAGAATTGCTTGTGAAGAACCAAAA